ACCACCCCATCCCGTTAGTCGCCTCTTACGAAACATTGTAAATCAATACGACTACTGAATGTTCAATTGACTATTCAATATCTAATACAACCTACCATGGAAAGTGTAAACTGCATGTTGCTCTCACCCGAGCATATCCAGACATCCCCAAACAACACATCTGTTAGGTTGATGCTGCCCTCGCTAGATGTCGCTGTGATGTTGTAAGGGCCCAAAAAATCGATGGCAGGAAGTTGTACTGACCACACAGGGGTTGATGGGACAGGTCCAAAAAAGGATGTTGTATTCACCTGTCCCTTACCGCTAACGCTTACAGTGATTGTCTCCCCTTGTTTAGCAGCATAGCCCCATATTGTAGCTTTCTTTGGCGCTTGTTGAAGAACCATGTGGTCACCATAGTAACTTGCAAAGGCAAAGGGTTTCGCTTTTATGGCCTCTACAATAAAATACCAATGTGTTTGTTGTTCAGCAAAACCAAAAATATATTTCTCTTTGGGTGCTTTTTGAGAGACACGTGGTTTCCATGGTAACTTGCAAAAGAGAATGCTTTAATCACTATGTTCCCTGAACTACAATGTAGATCAAACTTCCAGATAAGCGAGGAGATAATGAATATGTGTCCGTGTCGCATAGTGACCCAAGCAGACAACATTGTCAGTACAGCAAACACCTGCGTGATTACACTGTGATTTCAAGGCATTAAAACACTGGGTGGTGTAAAAATCTGGAATGTGAAGCGAAATGAGAATTGATTTTTCTGTGAGCTTTGAGTTATGAGTAATTGAGTTCTGTTCACTGGAAATATGGCAATAACTTATTTTCACATTATTAGTCGTTATCAACAGTGATCACTGTTTAATTTGCTCATTAAATTGACTGACTTAGAATTTACTTAGTTATGTTCACTAGAATTGTTTCACATTTAATGATTGAATGTTAATGATGACTGATTAATTTGCTCACCCAAACTATTCTGCTGCCCAGGAACTAACCATTTTGGCCTGTAGAGTGATATGGACATAATACAGTGAGACACCGCTATGTCGAATGTGAAGGGACCCAAGTATATACTTCGACACAAAATGTAAAATGATTACCAAACAAGGAATAGACTGTTTTCACTTGGAGACAGACTTAAATTCGACACATTAAAGTTCGACACAAATGTGTTTGACTATGACAACTTCTCCTGTTTCAGTAACTGGGATTAAAGTATGACCAGAAATAGAGCTGATGCATGCCACAATTCAAACATCAGCTGAAGAGCAGTTTCTCTACAGAAGCCCAACATTCGTGTCATGCTGGTATCCATGGGCGAAAGTGGGAATTTCTAATATCACTGGATGCACAGATTCTTAATATGAATTTATCATGAGATCCGATAAAGGTGTCTGAACAAACATAATCTCTAGAACACATACCTGCTCCTGCAACGTGAACGGTTACGGTAACCAGGAGAAATGTCGAGACAGTTGGCCCCATGTATGCCGGACTGTTTGAGTAATGGCTGTACAATACAATCAGGACACAGTCTACCTCTATCATATCTCTACTGTCTATGTTAAACTACTTGTACTTAAAAATATTATTTTTAAGAAAATATTCCTTCGTATGGTTAAGAATGTGAAGTATTATTGTCAATATTTTTAGTCAAGAGGGTCAGAGTTATGGGGCCGTGAATTGTTGTTTGCGACAGAATAATAATGCAGTACGTGCGTCAAAACATTCTTGTATTCTGAAAGCAGAACCGAGACAAACGGAAACCTTGTGAACTTTCCAATAGTCAACTTCCGTTCATGCCGAGAAATACTCCAGCATCTACATTTATTTACATGTTTTTAGGATAAATGAGAAAACTCATTCAACGAAGATTTCATACATTTCTTCATGGATCACATGCGGAGGATGCTGTACAATTTGTCGCATTATTGTCAGAATTATGGCTGATGCAGTTCCCTATTTTGAACTTGCCAAGTAGTATGCACAATAGGGGTACGGCATCGGGTCCTTCCAAAGGCTTAATTTTCCAAATTAAGCCTTTGTTAAGTCCCTAATCCCGTTCCGCTAATGTGTATACTTCTGGTTGATGTGCATGTAAAACTTCACGAAAATCGGTGTAACGGTTTCTGAAATATTGCCTTTTGAGCGAGCATGGGGTCTGTCTGGCGAAAGGCTAACTATCCAACGTATTAACGTATTTGTTATAAAGTAGCGAGGCGAGTAATATGATAAACTTGTGTTACTTTGCACATCACACGATTCAGGTATTTTAAATCATTTAGCGAAGTTTTTGTTCCTTGCATTTAAACAATGTAACACTTACCTTAACAAAACTGGTACAACCCATTAAGTGTATGTTTATTGACCTTGTACGGTGTTATGGCGCTACAGAATTCAACTTGCATGATATGACTTATGTAACTGTATAATGGGCCGGTGGCCCCTTTATTGAATAAACCAATTACTCACTCAATGGAAAAGTAGGCCTTTTTAGATTGAAGGGCTAACGTTCCACAAGCCTTTAGGCCAGGCAAGTCTTGATGAGAAGATTATACCTATATATTTATCCAAGTTAACGTGTGAGCCCCATTTGCAACAATACGTTTTTAACAAATTAAGTTTATTCTGCAAACCAATAACAGAGTCATCTCATGATCTTTCATCACCCAGAACAGGATGGAGTGTGGCACTAGTTCTTAAACCTTTACCACTTGGGTAGAACAGAGATAACCCCCACTCAGATTGACTCATAAGACATCAGTAACAGTTAACTGTAGTTAGACCAGTCGGCTGCAGGCCATTCTGGGTTGTACAGTTAGGAGAATCGTGGGCAGTGAACCAGAAAGGCCCAACTAAACTACAACTCAAATCGTTCAACTACCTGCAGGAATTTCGTAAGAAGAAGAGGCATTTGCGTATTATAAGCACAAACGGGTGACAACTCCGGAAAAACCATTTAAATTATAGTCTCTGACACGAGTTAGGATTAAGAAATTTTACTCCATGTTGATATTCCGTTGAAGTAGGAAGTAGGAAGCAGCAGACATCAACACCACAACACTGTGTTCCATGTAAAGCAAGACTACTCTTCAATATCTATGTTGACGCAACCTACCTCGGAAACTGTACACTGCATGTTGCTCTGACCCGAGCATATCAGACATCCCCAAGCAGGACATCTGTTAGGTTGATGCTGCACTCGCTAGATGTTGCTGTGATGTTGTAAGGGCCCCCAGCATCAATGGCAGGAAGTTGAACTGACCACACAGTAGTTGATGGGATAGGTCCAATAAAGGATGCTGTAGTCACCTGCCCCTTACCACTAACGCTTAAAGTGATTGTCTCCCCTTCCTTTGCAGCATAGCCCCAGATGTTTGTTTTTTTGGGGAGCCTTTTAAAGAACCATGTGGTCACCATAGTAACTGGCAAAGGCAACTGGCTTTTGCGCCGTGGCCCCTGAAGAGGATTAGAGAAGTATGAAGAGAATGCAGTAGAATACATCTCTGTGCTAAATCAAGAAGTACATGTACATGTTTGATAGGATTTTACGTCGCGTTCAAGAGTGCTCGATGTCTGCCTGCTTCCACAAACTACCAATTTGAAATAATGAGGTACAATAACAATTTAGCCATCACTTACTAATAACAAAAAGACAATGCTCTTAGATCTTTTCCTAATTTTGAATGGTTGCTGCCAGACATCATGTATTTTACCTCTTCCAGAATATGCTGCTAATGCTGTCACATAGACGAATGTCCAAATGAATTTCCATACAACTGATTCCATTTCAGCCGCCATCTACAAGACTGCACGACGTACACGGTGCCTTATCTCCTTTAGATTTAACTTTGTCCTTATGATCTCAGATAGGTGTTGTCGGGTGACAATTTCTTCCAGAAAGTTAAAAATAGTCACGAGAATTAGCTAATGTGCTTCTGTTGACTGTTCTGTTAGATATGACAAAACTACTTAATAAAAAACTAATGTCTAGAAATGTAAATGATCGGTATTTCAGTAACGACGTCGTCTGAAATTTAAAGTCGCTGACGCTCAGATCCAAGACAATGTATGAAATGAATAGCATTTATTTTGGAGCGGCGGAAACTCGATTTTCTATTACGACATGTAAGCAAAATAACAGATTACCACAAATCTATGCAATGACAGAGACGTGGACAGTGGTCCCGGACTTTCTGAGTTCCAGTCTGATCGAAGTATGTTCGTTGAAGACAGGACGTCTATGGGTGATCTAAGTATCAAAGCAGGGGCTGATTTGTTCAGGTGACTTGATGAATGAGAGACTCGATCTATACTACAATTGCATGTTGTACCTCGCTCCGCCGTCTAAACGTAGCATCATGAACGTATATCAAGCTTATTTAGACACACATTTCCACGGAATCCTTCAAACACTGTGTCGAAGTTGAAGTCAATACTTCAGGTGTCAGAGGCTCAACATAAACGGAACTGATGAAAAAAGAAGGAACACACAGTGCCTAAACTGTGATCATTGAGAAATCATTAGGTTCGACACAACGGTGAGATCAAAATAGTCTAAGCATAATTCAGATGTAAAAAATAGGCACACAGAAATGTATAGAGCGATTTAGAAAAAGGAAGCTGTGAGCAATAGGGCAAAGATATTGTCTTGATAGTGTTGACCTGGACCCTACCGTGGACAATATGGAGCACATTTCCAGTCATTGTGATACTATATATATTATTGACTCTCCCCTAAATGAATCATGCTGCTTTATGTTAACGTTTATATTATTATAATCTCGAAATCTCCATACTCGGTCATGGAAGTCGAGAATGAACCTGGCTTCAGAAGAAAAAGTGACATTAGCCCAACGTCGATAGGTCTATGATCACCGAGTGCTGACGTTCCCTAAAGTTAACATGGAGTTGTTAACCTTTTTTAAGGAAGGCTCATCTTCATCACCAAGATGACATCACTGATGTCTCAAGATGGTACTCAAAATCAAACATTATATGTATTTTGTATCCGATTTATTTCAGAATTGTAATACTTCTCATCTTATTGCCTAACAAATCGAATGAATGGTGGCCCAGGGTAGCCACTATCCTTGTTGTAGACGGCACACTGTTTAAAGGGACACGGCGACTCTCGCCAGGCATAACGTATGGCAGACACCACCATTTCTCTAGACCGAAGACATAGTTGGCTGTAGTTGAGAGTCACTGACGTGTTGTCATGTGACGTCATAGGCAAGGGGAACCACACTGAATTGTCATCTGGTCCTGATGAACTGTTGGCGGGGACACATGTCACCTGAAGGCGAACAAAAACAATAGACAGGCGAACAGAACTGAATCACTAAGTATTACAAGATCCAAACAGTTTGTCCTTCCTAAACAAGCATGTGTTGATATGAACATTGTCAAACTTGTGAACATGAGGTAAAATGTTTCGCAAAGGCCGTGTATGGCGATTGCCAGTCTGAATATCAAAACATAAGCCAATCATTGACCCAGGTTGATTATCGTAGGGCATACAGATCAATACAGAATAAACGTGTGGCAAGAAAAAGTCACGGACTTGATCGAAAAAGGAGTTAAATGATGTCTTGATGTTGGAAATTTCCTTCGCTCACAATCGCCATACTTGATCATTAGCAAACAAAACCTTGCAAACTTTGATAGACAAAAATGCCAGTTACGTTGTGAACTATTGGAAACTGTCTGAAACTGTTCATAACCTCATTACACACTTTCACTGTATCTAAGGTGATGCTGGTAACGTGCGTTACCAACATCACAACATGGCGGCAGACAAGATCGCTTGGCGATTATTCCCTTCGAATAAGCAGTCTTCCACGTGTATACAATCAACATTAGTTAGCACACTGATAAACTTTGATGGTGCGAATACACTGAATGCACTGAATTTGCTTATAAATGTCTATGTGTTGAAGAATATGCATTTTTAAAATGGCGCGAGGATGTCGGTAACTCAAAGTCTGGATGTCGGTAACGTACAATGAATGATGCTGGTAACACATACTGTCCTGCTTTAGTCGGTAAACAGAAATTGTCGGTAAATAGAAATACAAAGGAGATACTAATAGGGTTGAGTATTGCCAAAATTTCCGTATTGTGAAAGTGTACACCTGGGTTAAGGTAATGAAATTATTGTTTCCTTTCTTTTGAAACAATGCCACTGGTCACTGTCAGGGCTAAGATGTGATTGTACAAGAGATCAATTGAAAATGTTTCCAAATTGAAGACTTCACTCTAAAGTTTGCAACTCGAGAAAAAGCGTCTGCAGCGGCGTCCCCCATTTTGGTTTGTTTATCAACGAATGCCGGTACCAATCTATATGCTTTAAAAGTCACGCAAATGCAATTATATGGCCAATAAACACTCTCAAAACTATTAATGTATAATAATATTAAGGATATACATCATCAGGAAAATTACCGATGATGGTCACGGAAATTACCGATCGTATCGGGTGAACCGGTTCGCTAAAAAGTGTACCGCAATATATTGTATTGTGAAGTTCGAATTGCAATATACCGGTTAACCGGTATTATCGCCCACCCCTAGATACTAATATCAGTTCTTATGTTTTACACAGATGTGTACTGCTGCTACATTAACAGTATGGGCGACTTTTTCTGTGCACTGGAGAGTTGTTGCTTGCCTTGAAGCAGGGTGTGTTTAATCACACTATTTATGTGGCGTTTCGTTGAACTTGAACGGATTTAGATGTGTGTGCCCATTGTCCATTACGCTGAGAGCTCTTTCTCTGTCCCTCCTCAATTCGGACATATTTGACATGTTGATTTCGTTGCAATGTTGACGTTTAAAGTACATTTTACAGCGTGCGTTTATTGGGTAGGGCTGAATTTATAAAGTTATATGGTCTGTCAACCTAACTTTAGGGACTGCATATTTTGCCAGTATTTCTTTGGTTATTTGTTTCAGTGTAAAAGTGTTGACATATACCTTCATGTTTCTCCGTGACCTCAGGACCCTATTATTAATAAACACACCGGTGCACAGAAAAAGTCGCTCATACTGTTAATGTATCTACGCAGCAGTACACATCTGTGTAAAACATAAGAACTGATATTAGTATCTCCTGTGTATGTCTATTTACCGACAATTTCTGTTTACCGACTAAAGCAGGACAGTATGTGTTACCAGCATCATTCATTGCACGTTACCGACATCCAGACTTTGAGTTACCGACATCCTCGCGCCATTTTAAAAATGCTTATTTTTCAACACATAGACATTAATAAGCAAATTCAGTGCATTCAATGCATTCGCACCATCAAAGTTTATCAGTGTGCTAACTAATGTTGATTGTATACACGTGGAAGACTGCTTATTCGAAGGGAATAATCGCCAAGCGATCTTGTCTGCCGCCATGTTGTGATGTTGGTAACGTGCGTTACCAGCATCACCTTAGATACAGTGACTTTCCATAACTTTCACACCTGCAAGCTAAGAACCAATATCTTTTGTCGTCGTTTTCCTACAACAGATTCTATATCAATGTTAATGTTTCTGCATAAACATTGCCTTTAGAGAGGACATGTCTAAACATTTTGTGTACCTTTAAGTTCATTTGGAAAATACATAGACATATTAAATAATGACAGAATTTTACATATTTGCCATAAACTGATGGCATAATACTCTCACCACTTTAACCGATGTGATATATACCGCCACTCATGTTTGTCACTTAATGATAAATGCATGCTATGTTACTAAGGATTCCCCTTCGTTATGCTGTGCATTAAATACTCACGACGTGAGGAACCATCTCCCCTCTGACAAAACACTCTTCAACAAAAATCAGATCGTCTCAAAGGATATAGAAGCAAGAAAGTAACAACTGCTTTGTTGAGTAAAACTTTTAAACATATGAAGTAGCAATGGCCACTGACCTCAAAGCCTGATTTCGATCTAATTTCCAGAACCTTGTCATATGTTATCTGTACGGTTCCATCTTCCCCCACAGTAACACTAGAAGGGTAGGGGCCATTGAGGGTGGAGTACTGAGTTTGGTTGTAGGCCACAGCAAGTCCAGCTGTACACAGACGCATAGACACATCCTGCTTGTCCCGGGGATGGATACTGAAAGTATATGGAACACCACACAGTATTTTTTCTGATTGTTACATGTAAAGTCCCATTCCTAGAAGATATGGCCAAAGAAACTTCCACAAGGACTGGCAGGGACGAGTCAAAATTGCCTGTGGGTTTGCTTACAGAGAATGAAGTAACGGTTGTAAAATAATGTTGATTATATGTTGTTTTGCATTTCTCCTTTTTAAAAACGTGCTATACTGGGTTTAAACTATTTCTGATACATTTGCCAAGGAGACGAGAAATCCGGCAGGTCCATGGCCACCGACATGAAGGTGTTCTTCATTCTGTCGTTAGGGACATAGCCATAGTCAGCTGTCTGGTGCCACCGAATGTCTGTGTAGCCTGTAGTAATGGTGTCATTGTCTCTAAATGGAGCAAGCTGAGGAAGAAGGAACGAGTGAGTGAATACACATTTCACATGGACATTACGTTTAACAATGCATTTATCGAGAGTGTCTTATACAGGATTTTACACACGCAAGAGCGTTGACATCATAATATGATGTCATTCTTAGATACAATAGTCATAAACGGTTTGTAATTAGGTTTCTCTAACATGTTACATACATGATTATTTTTAGACAGTGGCGCGAGTTGTTGTCCTTTTTTACGCTACCCTTATCGGAAGACGTCACTTGATTTATTAGTCTACCTGGTCACTACAGTCATATGCAAAAAAATAAATAGAAAAGCGGTGTTAATGCCGGTTCATTTGATTGTGATACACGATTTTCCCCTTAAGTAACGGTTTCAAAGTTTGTTTTCAGACGCCATGCTTGCAAGAAAAAGTAAACTGCGTTAGATCAGAGAACAGACTACAAGCAGCAGAGTTTGATTTTGGTCTAGATCCCTTATAACAAATTCTTGCACGAAAGCCAATAGACAAGTGCCACCCAAAATATAATATTTCTTATGAATGATAGCGGAGCACAGTGTCTGTTTAGCAATATGTTTTAAGCATGGCATAACTTCATGATAAATCATTTCATGTGTTATAAATGGCGAAGGGCATTCACTTTGTTCCAGCGTACAATTTATTGAAAGACGGTTAAATGAGGCCTTTCTGAGGAAATATTACTCAGCATTGCCAACATTGACCCGAAGTGGGCCCAGTGGTTTCTCTGACTGGGAATTATATTAAGCGTCGATGCTTGGAAACATACATTCTTCTTGTTACATTCATGTCATGATGTACAAAAATATATGGAAGACAAAGAAGATACCCTAACCTGTACAAATCCAAACGGGAACAGTGGGTCGCTTTCACCAAGGGAGCCGTCATGGAATCTGTCTCTCCAGTCATCAATCATGGCGGGGAACGTACAGTTGTACTGGTTCATTGTCTTGGATGGTGCAGCATTGGACTCACCTGGAACACATATTTATAGGACTCTTTTAGAAACAGAGCCGATTGTAGTGGACGGTGCATATGAAACTGCCCATGTGTTTCTTGCATATGCTGTAGTTGAGATTTAGTTAATTTAAAGACATGAATATACACCTTTCAAAAAGGAAACTTATAGGCTAACCTTGATAACTTTGAAATCGTTTTTCTCTGACCTTGATACCATATGGCTCCATATATGGTCATGTTCAGGAACGGTCGTATCATGGCATTCCACAAGACAGAGGCAGCATTTGGATCAACACCAGAAACATCACTACCATCGTTTATGTCGGCTACATCGGTTACACCACATTTCTTGAGAACATTGGGAGCTGACCACGCCTCCACTCGGGTTCCTTCGTATGATGATGCTATGAGGCCGATGGGGTATTTGAGATGCGACGACAGGTACTTGCCATATAACCAACACACTGCCGAAAAGTACGACCAAGGGGAGCCACCAATGCTATCTTGATGAAGCAAGATGACGAGAGAGAAATAAATAAGTGTTTGAACTTAGGAGACATAATCTAGGAACAACAGAAGAGAACTCGACAGATGTAAAATATTGACATCAATTGGAAATACGAATATGACGGCCTCAAAGGGATCACAATCACGTGTTTTAGTTCGTCATGACTGTAGTTCGTTACGACCAAAAACAGTTCGTTATGTCCACCAGAGGTCGTAAAAAACGTTTTCGTTAGGAACGTGGTAAAAAAATGTCACAGATGAATGTGTTGTGAGCATCAAGAGAACGTTTAAATAATGTTGATATATTGAGTATGCGTAAGAAATCTCAATGTCATTTGTGTACCTGCATTAGGAACAGACCAGGGTTCACTGATACCCAACAAGTCATATTCTTCAAAAGGCGACCCTCCCAGGGCAACTGTAAATACCCGGATGTTGGGATGGTTAGATGCATCGAACTCCTCTTCCGTGGCGTTCAAAGCCTGTCAGAAGCAACTGATTTACACAACAGCTACAACCACCTAGAGCTGATCCACACTCACAAGACATCAGTAATAGTTAGCTGTAGCTAGAGTCATCGGTTACAGGTCAGTCTGATTTAGGGGTTTGGAGAACAAGGGCTATGGCAAATTAATATAAAATTAATATGACCCAACTGTAAACTATTACTCGAATCGTTGATTCATGTTTCAGAACTACCTGCAGTAATTTCATAAGTAAAAGAAAGACTTGTTGATTATAAGCACAAAGGGATAGCAACTCTGTCTCAGGATCGGAGACCAACACAGCTCACACGTTCACAACATTATGCTTTCGTTGTTAGTACTTGTTACAACGTTATTCTGTCGACTCCCATTTACGTTGTCACAACGTTGTGGCCTGACGTTTTGATACGTCATTTTTACGTCTCTATCAGGTTAAGTTATTTGATGCTAAGGTTTATTACGTTGTCTTTAACCTTCTATTTAACGGTAATAGTTGACTAGTTTCCCCAGGAGTTAACAGTACTAGGAAACAAAGCAGAAATTCACTTCAACGTTTATTCGTCAATTTGCATGTTGTTTTAGTCGTGTGTTTTCTGAAGCTGTAGCTGAATAGTGAAGAAAGAATCTCAAAGTGAAAAGTTTTACAGAAAACTCTGTGACACCAAGTTATACGAAACGTTGTTATAACGTTGTTATGACGTTGTGAGGAGCCCAAAGCATAACGTTTCCTCAACGTAAATTTATAACGTTGGTATTACGTTGTGACATAACGTTGTAAAATGACGTAATACTAATGTTGTGACAACAGTGTGTCATGACATTACCAATCCACAACGTTGCGAAAACGTTGTGTGTTAGATGGGAGGATGTCTCCATTATGACCAGGAATTTAGTCCATGTTGATATTTCGTTGAAGTAGGAAGCAGGCAGACTGCAGTCCATGTAAATCAAGACTACTATTCGATATCTATGTTGATGCAACTTACCATGGAAACTGTAAACTGCATGTTGCTCTGACCCGAACATATCCAGACATCCCCAAACAACACGTCTGTTAGGTTGATGCTGCCCTCGCTAGATGTCGCTGTTATGTTGTAAGGGCCCCCAGCATCAATGGCAGGAAGTTGAACTGACCACACAGGAGTTGATGGTATAGGTCCAATAAAAGACGTTGTAGTCACCTGACCCTTACCGCTAATGCTTAAAGTGATTGACTCCCCTTCCTTTGCAGCATAGCCCCAAATGTTCGTCTTTTGAGGAGCTTTTTGAAGAACCATGTGGTTACCATAGTAACTGGCAAAGGCAAATGGCTTTTGCGCCGTGGTCCCTGAAACAAAAATCTCAGATATTTGAAGAGGAAAAGAGATGTGAAGGACAATACATCTGTATGGTAAATCAAGACATCTGAATCTACCAACAGATGGGCTGTTTAACAGGGTTTACAATGCTCTAGTGGGCCGGTACATTCATTGTTCCATGTACCAGTACTGCATACATGTATTTTAATCCAACAACTCAGCATTTGTATTTCTAGTTAATGCGGGGGCACAGTTGTAATTTTTAAAATGAATTCAAAGTTAAAATGGTTGTTGTTATACATCCTTCATACGATACAGACTTAATAATATGAAACCTTTGAAGTCACAGTGTGTTGTCAAACATGTTGTATATGATGCAGTCACAGAAGGCTCTATAAAACATTAAATATTACCTCTTCCTGAATATGCTGCTAATGCTGTCACATAAATTAAGGTCCAAATGAATTTCCGTACAACTGATTCCATTTCAGCCGCCATCTACAAGACTACACGAGCTACACGGTGTGATCGATCGCTGCCTTATCTCCTTCAGCCTGAACTTTGTCCTTATCATCGCAGATAAGTGTTGTAGGGTGACACTTCCTTTCAGAAAGTTAAAAAATAGAATTATAGTTCTTCGACCATCGACTGTTCTGTTGAATATGGCAAATATACTGAATAACAAACTAATGTGGAGACCACATCCAGAATTTACCTGATAGTAAACGAACGGTATTTCAGTAACGATGCTGTGTGAAATTTATAGTCGTGGTCGCTCAGATCCAAGACAATGCATGGAATCAAAAGCATATATTTAGGAGCAGTGGTAACTCGATTGACTATAACGATAGACAAGCAAAATAATTTTATAACATAAATTATAAGCAATGACAGAAACGAGGATACCGGTTTTATACGTATTTATTTCCCGTCTTGCCGAAATAAGTTCGTTGAGGATAAGGTGCCTATGGGTGATGTAAATATCCAAGCAGGGGCTAATTTGTTCAGGTGATGTGATAGGTGAGAGTCTCGTACGGCATTTGCATCAAGAATGTCGTACCTTCCCCCCCGTTTACTGGGATCACGCTAGTGGGTTAACAGCAGAGCTGGTAGGTATTTGCCGAACAGCTTATTGGATACGGAGTGGGGGTTATTCTGCTGACATTTAAAACCACTGTAGTCACTTGAAACAAAATAAGTGTGGCTTTGTGGTAACTGAAAAAATACTTGGGCTGATCACTTCAGACAATACTACCTAACTCCCACAGCTTATCATTGCCAAGTTTCAACCCAGTGATTATCCATCTGACCATGTCCTTGCAAACTGCCAGCATCAGTCGCAAGTGAAAGTTGAGTTCATAACACAACCCTCACCCAGTTGTGCCTCTGGCACCTGAAGTATTGACTCCAACTTCGACACAGTGTTTGACTGTAGGATTCCGTGGAAATATGTGTCTCCAGAAGCTTAAAATACGTCCATTTTTCTGACATGAAAAACTGCGGATGTAAATCATATGCCCAGACATGAAATCTGTGTTTTCGCACAATAAACATATAATCGATTTGCTTAGTAATCTCTCAAGACGTATTTTATATTTTTTAAACAAAGCTTGATAACTGACTGATTGAAATATAGTCATCCTACGGCCTTTGCAAAAATACGCCAGCTACATGTTGATCATGATCTTGGGAAACAGACAATGTTTTACAGTGTACAGTGTAATAATTCTGAATTTAGATGTGGTCAATAATTCTGACCAGAACGTTTAGGATGTCTGGTCATATGAATGAAATCTGTACCAGAACGTCTCACGGAATGAAATCTGTACCAGAACGTCTCACGGAATGAAATCTGTACCAGAACGTCTCACGGAATGAAATCTGTACCAGAACGTCTCACGGAATGAAATCTGTACCAGAACGTCTCACGGCATGAAATCTGTACCAGAACGTCTCACGGAATGATATCTGTACCAGAACGTCTCACGCAATGACAACAAAGTTGTAAATCACAACTCAAGCCTGTCTTCATTCCTTTTACAGGGTCCGTAAATACCATTTGGAGATGTTAAGTCCAGGAATTCGTGATTTGGGTTTTGCACAGCAAATGCAGTGTCGTGGCACTTAACATTTCCAAATGGTATTTACGGACCCTGTAAAAGGAATGTATACAGGCTTGAATTGTGATTCACACGAAGTCCACGAGTTCGTGAGTTTGGTTTTGCACCGTACAACTGCATCTGAGTTATTACAGTGTACACTGTGAAATGTTCAACAGTGAATTTGTCTGATTCTCACCTATGTTTGCATTTGGCGTAATCTTGAAAAATCTCTCGATATATTACCAAGAAAATCGAACGCGTTTATTGCATGAAAAAAATGGATTTCATCTCTGGGCATTTGATTTAAATCCTCATTCAACATATGCCGAAATGCACATAATTAGCATAATCGGTGAGTACAAAATACTCCTGATTCGTTTGTATTTTCTGTACGGTAAATTTAAGGGTATCTACTTGCAAAAAAATCATTTCAGAAAGATCGACGTATTGCAAGCTTTTTTTAAGACATATATGTCCCCAGAATCCTACAGTCGAAGTTGAAGTAAACATTTCATAAGCGAAACTGATGCATAAAGGGACCCGTAGAGACCGAACTTTTGCTTCAAGACATCCAAGATTGACACAACGTTTACAATTTCAAAAGATTATCAAAGTCTTAGCACAATTCAGATGCAGTTCTCACAGGCCTATGTTTAAAGTTGGCAGTATATAATTAACATTGTTTGGTTAACGTCTTTAAAAGAATGGCTCATCTTCATTACCAAGATGGCCTTACGGATGTCTCAAGATGATACTCAAAATCAAACATAACATTTATTTTGTATCCGTTTTATTTCAGAATTTTAATACTTCTCATCTTATTGCCTAACAAATCGAATGAATGGTGGCCCAGGGTAGCCACTATCCTTGTTGTAGACCGCACACTGTTTAAAGGGACACGGCGACTCTCGCCAGGCATAACGTATGGCAGACACCACCATGTCTCTAGACCGAAGACATAGTTGGCTGTAGTTAAGGGTAACTGATGTGTTATCATGTGACGTCATAGGCAAGGGGAACCACACTGAATTGTCATGTGGTCCTGATGAACTGTTGGCGGGGACACATGTCACCTGAAGGCAAAGAAAAACAATAAACAGAATCATAAGGTCTTGGATTAGAACAGTTTATCCTTCACCTTTCGCGAGCTGATTTGAGCGATTGTCACTTTAAATATCTAAACATTTGCAGTCATTGACCCAAGTTTATTTTCAGGGTATACAGATCAAAACAGAACAAACACGTGGTAACAAAATCTTCGTAAGTCACGGATTTGCTCGAAAAATGAGTTAAATGGTCTCTGGAGTTTGAGGAAATGCACTTCTCCGCTCATATATATTTGCTACACTTGATCATTAGCAAGAAAAACCTTGCAAAATTTAATTGGAAGAGGGGTCAGTTAAGTTTTGAATAACTAAAAGCTGTCGGATACTGCATATAACATTATTACACATCTTTCCATGATTTCAAAATATCTTAACTCGGAGTTTTCATACAACAGATTCTATTTCGATCTAAATGTGTGTGCATAGATATTGCCTTTGGAGTCGAAATGTCTAAAACCTTTAAGATCATTTGAACAATACACGGTCATATTAAATAATTAAATAATGATACATATTTGCAATAAACTGACAACGTAACCGATATAATGTATACTGCCACTCATCTTTGTCACCAGAAATACATGCTATTTTACTAAAGATTCCATTTCATTATACAGTGCACAAAAACTCACGCTATCTACCCCTGGAAAAACCTACGACCAGCGACATAAGAACTAAAGAAAATCTCAACGGAAATAGAAGAAAGAACATAACAATTGTTTTGTTGACACAACTTTTAAACATAGCAGTAGCAATGGCCACTGACCTCAAAGCCTGATTTCGATCTAATTTCCAGAACCTTGTCATATGTTATCTGTACGGATTCTTCCTGCGCCAAGATAGTAAAACTAGAAGGGTAGGGACCACTGAGGGTGGAGTATTGAGTTTGGTTGTAGGCCACAGCAAGTCCAGCTGTACACAGACGCATAGACACATCCTGCTTGTCCCGGGGATGGATACTGAAAGTACATGTTTGTTACATGTAAAGTCTCATTCCCAAGAGATATGTGTAAAGAGACTTCCAGAAAGATTGGCAGGGACAAATCAAAGACCAAAGTCATTTTGGTTTTAAATTATTCTGAAAAACCCGTGAAGATCAGGATCGTAAGAGGCTACTAACGGGATCAGGTGGTCAGGTTCACTGACTTGGTTGACAAATGTCATCGTAACCATATTGCGTAGATCGATGTTCATGATGTTGATCACTGGATTGTCTGGTCCGGACTCGATTATTTACAGACCGCCGTCAGAGTGTGGCTTTAAACAACAAACAAACTATTTCTGATACCTTTGCCAAGGAGACGAGAAATCCGGCAGGTCCATGGCCACTGCCATGAAGGTGTTCTTCATCCGTGCGTTAGGGACGAAGCCGTAGTCAGCTGTCTGGTGCCACCGAATGTCTGTGAAACCTGTTGTAATGACGTCAGTGTTTCTCCATGGAGCAAGCTGCAAACAATTCAGAATTTATCCCCATATTTCAGGGTAAAATCACATACAGAAAATGGAAGGAAGGAGTGAGTGAGTGAATACACATTCACGTGGACATTATGTTTAATATTACATTTAGCGAGTGGTGTCTGATACAGAATATTTACCACGACACACAAAGGCGTTAGCCTCATATAATATAATTCTTAAACACTAGTCACAAACGCTTTATAATTCCGTTTCATGATCCTATTACCAATCCACCAGTCACCCCGTTATAGTCCTGTGTTACATGGAAGCTACCCTTGTCCGAAGATGTCACTTTGTTTATCAGTCCCAACGTTACAAACTGCAGTCAGATGTTCCACGCAGCAATAAATTAAAGGGAAATAAGGAGTAAATGTCGGACACCTTCTGCCCATTTGGTAAGTGTGATGCACGATCTGCTGTACATTCGAGAAAATACCATAAGATGCAGAGGTGTGTTGGCAGCTTGGTTTTGCAAATCATTTCACCATCCAATGGCCATGTCAGACACTGCCTATCACTATTGTGAACACTTAATTGGATAGTGCTAACACTCTCAGAAATTATCCAAATCCCCTTTGATAAATTCTGACTGAAAAGCCAACAAACAATTCCGACCCTGTATTTCTTTGTAAACAAAGGATGTATAATTTGCATATCATTTGAGTCTCTGAATGGCATTTAGAAGTGATACATATAAAGGCAAGAATTTATGGATTTCAGCTTCTGTATTGTCAAAATAAAGAAGTTGACATCCATAAAATTCTTGCCTTCATATCATTTTAAGTAAATGACCAAAATGGTCACTTTCCGATAAGCGTTGTAACATAACAGGTGATATCGGTACACACAGATGTATGACTGAAAATATTTCTTATGAATGTATGAGTGTGTTATTAATGTAAGGGACAGGTTGTTTTCTTCATTTAACATTTCTTACCAATTTACACTTGTAACATCACGATAAATCATCTCATGTTTAAAAGCGGTGAAGGGCATTCATTTTATTCCTGTGCGGAACTATACAGTTCATCAGAAAGACGGTTAAACTGGACCTTTCTGATCGGATAAGAGGAAATATTTCCGGTATTGCCAACATTTAACTCTAATTCTTTTGTCGGGAATTATGAGGGTGGATGCCTGGAAAAAAACATTCATTTCCTGATGTACAATTCCTAGAAGATAGCATCATTGCATAAATATGAAGACAAAGGAATAGCCTAACCTGTACAAATCCAAACGGGAACAGTGGATCGGTTTGACCAAGGGAGCCGTCATGGAACCTGTCTCTCCAGTCATCAATCATGGCGGGGAACGTACAGTTGTACTGGTTCATTGTTGTGGGTGGTGTCGCATTGGACTCGCCTGGAACACATATTGTTAGGACTGTTTTAGGAATAGAGTTGGTTGTCATCGACGGTGTGTTTCTTGCATGTGTTACACATGAGATTAAGCCAGTTCAAAGACACACGTATACACTCTTGTGTTGAACTGAGGAGGGTATACCGATCCCATACACCAGATATGGTGCTGTGTGTGACTGTTAGTTTGTGGGCACTGGCAGATAGAGGTGTGTACATCCATACTGTTACTATGACGATGTAGCGATTGGAAGTATTCAGTCGCACCATTCCCTCTTCCAATTAGAGGGGAAAAATTTGACGACCTGCTGATTTACGTTTGATCTTTTATAGTTATTGTCACTACTCATGATTGCTCATTACATTGTGGTACATGTTACAAACAACATTAAATGCAAAATATTGTATGTGTATTGAATGCTGCATGACACACAGATCGACTCATCTCGTTTACGTTTCTATTTTGAAAATTTCTGCTCTTGAACTCGATTTTGAGGTTTAGCATTTTGGAGGATAAATATATCTAAAAAAGACAGGTTTGATGTCGTTTAACCTTGAGTGAGTGAGTGAGTGAGTTTAGTTTTACGCCGCACTCAGCAATATTCCAGCTTTATGGCGGCGGTCTGTAAATAATCGAGTCTGGACCAGACAATCCAGTGATCAACAGCCTGAGCATCGATCCGATGGGAACCGATGACATGTGTCAACCAAGTCAGCGAGCCTGACCACCCGATCCCGTTAGTCGCCTCTTACGACAAGCATGGTTTACTGAAGATCAATATTCTAACCCGGACCTTCACCTTGATACCATATGGCTCCATATATGGTCATGTTCAGGAACGGTCGTATCATGGCGTTCCACAAAACAGAAGCAGCATTTGGATCAACACCAGAAACATCTGTAGCATCGTTTACGTCGGCTACATCGGTTATATCACATTTCTTGAGAACACTGGGAGCTGACCACGCCTCCACTCGGGTTCCTCCGTATGATGATGCTATGAGGCCGATGGGGTATTTGAGATGCGACGACAGGTACTTGCCATATAACCAACAGACTGCCGAAAAGTACGACCAAGGGGAGCCACCAATGCTGTCTTGATGAAGCAAGATGAAAAGAGAGAGAAAATAAAAATTGAACTTCGGAGATATACTCGTCAGAATGATGGAGGAATAATCGACGAGCAACAGAGAAGAACACGATTCGTGTAAAATATTGACATTTATTAGAAATACGATTATGACGACCTCAAGGGACCAGATGTTTTAGTTCGTTATAACCGTAGCTCGTTGTACGTTTTTCGACCAAAAAATCCCAGTTCGTTATGTCCGTCATATTGTTATTGTTCGTTGTAAACGTTATAAATCATGTCACAGAAGCATCATGTTGTGAGCATCAAGAGAACGTTTAAATAATGTTGATATATTGAGTAAGCGTAAGAAATCTCAATGTCATGTGTGTACCTGCACTAGGAACAGACCAGGGTTCACTGATACCCAACAGATCATATTCATCAAAAGGAGACCCTCCCAGGGCAACTGTAAATACCCGGATGTTGGGATGGTTAGCTGCATCTAACTCTTCTTCCGAGGCATTAAGACCCTGGAGAAGCAATATAAACAACTGATTTAGAACCGAAACTCTAAGAGAGGGGTGAAAGAGTTGTATTTGGGTCACTTAGAACAGGAGAGTGAGCTAATAGTGTGATTGGAGCCCAAAATGACACTAGTTCTTTTAAAAAACCTTTAACACTTGGGTAGAACATATTAGAGATGACCCCCACTCAGAAGACATCAGTAACAGTTAGCTGTAGTTAGACCAGTTGGCTGCAGGCCATTCTGGGTTTTACGCTTAGGAGAACTGTTGGTTGTGACAGCACCACAAGACCCAACTAAACTATAACTCGAATCGTTCGTTCATGTTTCAGAATTAACTGCAGGAATTTCATTAGAAGAAGAGACACTTGCTAATTATAAGCACACACGGTGCTTATGTGAGTAGGAAGCAGCCAGACATCAACACCGCAACACCGTGTTCCATTTAAAGCAAGACTACTCTATGTTGAGGCAACTTACCATGGAGACTGTAAACTGCATGTTGCTCTGACCTGAACATATCCAGACATCCCCAAACAACACATCTGTTAGGTTGATGCTGCCCTCGCTAGATGTCGCTGTGATGTTGTAAGGGCCCCCGGCATCAATGGCAGGAAGTTGAACTGACCACACAGGCATTGATACCATAGGTCCTATAAAGGACGTTGTAGTCACCTGACCCTTACCGCTAATGCTCAATGTGATTGTCTCCCCTTCCTTTGCAGCATAGCCCCATATAGTTGTCCTTTGGGGAGCCTTTTGAAGAACCATGTGGTTACCATAGTAACTGGCAAAGGCAAATGGCTTTTGCGCCGTGGTCCCTGGGGATCATAGAGGTATAAGGAGAATTCAGAAGAACAGATTTATATAGTAAACCGAGAAAACTGAAGCTACTGGTAAATGGGTCGTTTAATTGGTTTTGACGTATGGATGTACACACCTCTATCTGCCTGTGCCGGTTTTGAAATAATGAGGCACAATAACAATTTAATCATCACTCAACAAAAAGGCAATGCTCTTAGTTCCTTTACCAATTTACAATGCTCTATCATTCCTGTACATACTTCATAAATATTAATTTTAACACATTCATTTGATGTTCGTATTTCTTATTTTGTTGGCTAAATTGTATTTCTTGAACTGAATCCAAAGTTAAAATGGTTGTTGCCAGACATCACGTATACGACACAGCCTAAATAATATCGAAGGCTTGAAATCAAAGAGTGTTCTATGACAGAAATATTACCTCTTCCAGAATATGCTGCTAATGCTGTCACATAAATGACCGTCCAAATGAATTTCCATACAACTGATTCCATTTCAGCCGCCATCTACAAGACAACACGAGGTACACGGTGTTATCGATTGCTGCCTTATCTCCTCCAGCTTGAACTTTGTCCTTTTGATCTCAGATAAGAGTTGTAGGGTGACAATTTCTTTCAGAAAGTTAAAGATAGTTAAGAGAATGAGCTAAAGTTCTTCTTTTGCCTGTTATGTTAGATATGACAAAAATCCCCAAAATTACAAATTAATGTGGAGAAATGTAAATGATCGGTATTTCAGTAACGACGTTGTTTGAAATATACAGTCGTTGACGTTCAGATCCAAGACAACGCGTGAAATCAATAGCATTTATTTTGGGGCAGCGAAAACTCGATTTTCTATAACGTATAAATAAGCAAAAGAACAGGTTAACACAAATGCTTGCAATGACAGACACGAGGACAGTGGTCCCGGGCTCTCTGAGTTCCAGTCTGGTGGAAATATGTTCGGTGGGGATAGGACGCCTGTGGGTGATATAGGTATCAAAGCAGGGGCTGATTTGTTCAGGTGATTTGATAGGTGAGAAACTCGTCTCATACGACAATTGCAAGTGAGAGATCCTTTCCATACAGCAATTGCATCAAGAATGTCGTACCTCGCCCCCTGTCCAAACGGACTGTGTATCGGGACCACGCACATCGGATAACAGCAGAGCTGGTGGTTATTCTGCTGACATTTAAAACATTGCAGTCGTTGGAAACAGAATAAGTGTGGCTTTGTGGTAAATGAGAAATAATTGGGCTGGTCACGGCGACAATACTAGCTAAATTCTACAGCTTGTCACTGCTAACTTACAACCTAGTGATTATCCATCTGACCATGTCCTTGCCAACTGCCAGCATCAGCCTCAAGTGAAAGTTGATCCGATAACACAACCCTCACCCAGTTATAAAAACAAAGTCCAGGGTGCCGTTCCACTAACCGATCTTACCTAAGATCAATCTTAGCAAGTTACGCCAATTTTACAATCGTCTTAGCTAAAAGTTACACCCGTTCCACTACCCGATTTTAGGCCGATCGTAGCCGGTACCGATCTTACGATCCGATCCAAGCTTAGATCGAGACTCTTTCGTGCGAGAGATAGAGGAATGCGAGGCACGAGTTATCTCCCTTTGCATAGTCTAGCAAATGATGGAAGTAGTTTACGAACCAACTGAGTGAGTGAGTGAGTTTAGATTTACGCCGCACTCAGCAATAGTCCAGCTATATGGCGGCGGTCTGTAAATAATCGAGTCTGGACCAGACAATCCAGTGATCAACAGCCTGAGCATCGATCTGCGCAAATGGGAACCGATGACATGTGTCAACCAAGTCAGCGAGCCTGACCACCCGATCCCGTTAGTGGCCTCTTAAGACAAGCATGGGTTATTGAAGTTCAATATTCTAACCCGGGCCTTCATGGGTATTTTTCCAACCAAGTGTAAACGTGGACAAAAAACCCTAGAGCAAAATATTAGGGTAGTGAGCACCTTGGTTTCAGGTGCAAGTGCTTGTGAACGCTGGGTATCAGGCATAATATAATAATAATAAATGCATATTTATAATCCGCCTATTCCACATCCTGGGGCATGCTCAAAGCGCTATGTACAGATAATTTACACGAGAGTATTTACAGCCGAGATTATAAGTAAACTCTGTCAAAAAAGAAACGCAACCCCTGTCCTCAGATATGAAAAATTCGTTTGAATGAAGTTACTGCTTCCAAACTAAATGTTATTCGAATGTATTGAAATGATACACGTAATTAATGAAGATTACCATCCAAACAACTGCATTTGTACGCATAAGTGTATTTTATTGCTTATTCCGTCACAACGCATGAAATGACCCTCATGGTGACTTCGCACAAAAAAAACCACATGCAAATCATGAAAATGGCAGTTAATGTAGGGGTGTATAAAAAGCCCATGTGCTTTCGTATTATATTCATTCATTTGTCGCATGAAAAAGCTGTGTGAAAAATGCCACGATTGAGTGCTGCCGACCGAAATATCGCCATTGGTCGTGTTCAAGCCGGAGAAAGTTTTGGAACTGTTGCACGGCACCTAAATGTTCACAAAACAACGATATCCCGACTTTGGAGCCGCTACAACAACTTCAATTTGACCAACGATCGCCCGAGAAGTGGAAGGCCAAGAATCACGACCCCCCTTCAAGATCGGTACATCCGGGTCCATCACCTGCGTAATCGGCATGCCCTACCAACCGTGACTGCCACACAAATACCAGGTTTGAGGAGAGTGTCAGCTCAAACGATTAGGAACCGTCTGAAAGAAGCGGGTTTACGTGCCTGTAGACCAGTTGTTGGACCTGTACTACGCCCCTACATCTCCGCCGACGACTCAGGTGGTGCAACAACGTAAGGATATGGACTTTACAAAACTGGAGGCGCATCTGGTTTTCTGATGAATCCCGTTTTCTTTGCAACATCACGACGGAAGAAAACGTGTGTATAGGAGACGTCATGAACGTTTTGCGCCCATCTGCGTCCGACAGGGGACAGATTTGGCGGAGAAAGCGTTATGGTTTGGGGATCCATCTCATACAACCAGAAATCAGACTTGGTGATCGTTGAAGGAACCTGACAGCCCAACGTTACATCAACCACGTATTACAGCCTCACCTTCTCCCGATTATTGACCAACAGACACAGATTTTTCAACCAGACAACGCCCGGCCTCATACTGCACGTGCAACAATGAACTTTCTGCAGAATTCCAACGTCAATGTCTTGCCATAGCCCTCTAAATCACCAGACCTCAACCTATTGAACACCTGTGGGATACTCTGGGTCGACGCGTACGTCAACGTCAGCCGCCGCCACAGACGCTGCAACAACTCGGCGTTGCACTGCAGGAGGAGTGGAAGCCATTCCCAGGAAAGAATCCGGCGTCTTATCCGTTCTTGTCCAAGGAGATGCCGTGCAGTGATTGCAGCTCGTGGTGCTCATACGAGATACTGAGAAAGACGCCCCCCTGGTGACAAACTGGTGTCTGTGAGATGACTTTTGAAATGACAATTTTAAACATGCCCATCTTGGTTATTATTCTGCCAAATTTCAGACTTCTGTCTTAAATAATAAAAATGCTGTGTCGTCTTAAAACTTCAGATCAAAATCTCTAAAATACAGGGGTTGCGTTTCTTTTTTGACAGAGTTTACTATACTGAGAACAGGTTTTAAGTCTGGACTTAAAAATGTCAATTGTGTCAGAGCTTTTAATATGTGCCTGAACCTTGTCAATCAGAATAAACAAGGCGTGACGAGGCATCCTCTATAACGTATGTAGAATCTGTCAGTGGTCTTGAATAACACGCGGCCGCCCTTTAGAATATTCCCCACCAAATAAGCGCACATGAAATCAAACATATTTGTATCTTTTTGTTTCAGAACATTGTTCACTTCACGGCTGTCGTTATTCTTAACCATGACGTTGCAATATTGTTGTACAAATGTGTTACACCGACTCGCTCGGTTGTGTTCCCATGACGACAGTGGTCAGACTGGCCTGACATTTGTAAGGCTTCAGTGCAGTGTTTGTTTATATCACAGAAATATACAAATTCATTTCATGGGGGATTTTAGGGGACGCTCACGGTGAAATGCTCGCTCTTATATTTCATATAGAATAGGAAAGCCACCATTTTGGTTTCTCTACGATTGATTTTAGCTATCCTAAGTTGGTCATGAGCAACTTAGACTTTGAATCTTAACTTGACGATTGACTTAGGTAAGATTGGTTAGTGGAACGGTACGCCGATCGTAACGTCACGCTAAGATTGGGATTTTAGGGGTTTACGATTGGCATAGGGCTAAGATCGGTTAGTGGAACGGCACCCAGGAATTCGTGAATTTTGCACAGCAATTGCAGTGTCGTGGCACATAACATTTCCAAATGGTATTTACGGACCCGGTAAAAGGAATGTATACAGGCCGGAATCGTGATTTACAACTTTGTTTTTATTGCGTGAGACGTTCTGGTACAGATTTCATTCCGTGAGACGTTCTGGTACAGATTTCATTCATATGACCACATCTGAATTCAGAATTATTACACTGTACACTGTAAAACATTGTCTGTTTCCCAAGATCGTGATCAAAATGTAGCTGGGGTATGTTGGCGTATTTTTGCATAGACTGTAGGATGACTATATTTCAATCAGTCAGTTATCCAGCTTTGTTTAAAAAAGAACGTCTTGAGAGATTACTAAGCAAATCGATTAAACTTTGATTGTGCGAAAACATAGATTTCATGTCTGGGCATATGGTTTACATCCGCAGTTTTTCATTTCAGAAACATGGACGTATTTTAAGCTTCTGGAGACATATTTCAACGGAATCCTACAGTCAAACACTGTGTCGAAGTTGAAGTCAATACTTCAGGTGTCAGAGGCTCGACACAACCGAAAATGATGCAAAAATACGGAACACATAGGGACCAAACTTGAGAGATCATTAGGTTCGACACATTCAAATTCGACACAACGGTCAGATTAAAATAGCCTCAACACAATTCAGATGCAACTCTCACAGACGTATGTCTAAAGTAGTTACTTACTTAGGCCTGGCACTCCTCGTCTTGTCTTGCATTTGGTGTCGACTGCGGGCGAGTAAGGCAAAGTCATCGGCAACGTCCGGGTCATCCATCTCTGTAATGTTGTCTGTCATGTCTAAAGTAGTTACACAGATGTATAAGTAGAGAAAAGGAAGCTGTGAGCAATAAACGTCATTAAAGATGGATTTCGTTTTTGTACGTTTTTTCAAATATACGACTGTCTAAGAAGTGGATAAATATAACTACCGTTACAGTACATCCCACCCCACACAAATGTATATTGATCGTGTCAGCAACTGGTAATTCTATGCATGAAAGATCTTCCAGTGTTCATTTGCGATGTTGTGTCTAATGTCATAAAACTGTCATCACAGGTGCCACATTCATTTAACATATATGACATTTTACACAATATGGTTATATGTATCTTTGATAGATGGTGATGCTGGGTATCTACTTTCTTTGTTGTAGATCGTGCATCGTTAGCATATTAGACCACGGACATACATGGCTGTAGTTGACGGTCTCTTTATGCGATCGGAAGCGGGAACCAGCTGATATCTTCAGAGACTGTAGGTGTACGTACGGATATATGTTTGCACGCAGTCTGGAAAAGATATTTAGAAAATATAGCTTTTGAAATTAAAAAGTCTGCAAAAATAATTTGTTTTGACAATATATGGCTGCCATGGATCGCATATTGCAAATTAGTTTCAAGCCCAAGAATGCATACCATGCCAAGAAAGTAGGCAATGTTGGGAATCATCAAGACCATCTGATCAATGTGACACCAGCAAATAGAAATGATCTGATCATATCTGCTTGGGGCAGACCTAGTGGGTTCAAATGGTTGATGAGATTAGATGGTAGTGCACAAGGTGGACGGAAGCTCTCGAGGGTCAAGTTGGAAACGTGCATTTTGCTGTTGAACGGACCACACAGGGGTTGATGGGAGAGGTCCAATAAAGGACGTTATAGTCACCTGTCCCTTACCACTCATGCTCACTGTGATTGCCTCCCCTTGTTTTGCAGCATATCCCCAAACTTCAGCGTTCATAGACATAGACACTCCTACCAAGATTATCTTGAAACTATATTTTTGGTACTAAAGATTCACTCTGACACCATACTATTGACTGGATTATCCTTCAAAGCTTCAATAAACCTGTTCATTCTCTGACACGTGTTTCCGTGTATATAGGCAACAAAACACATGGTTTCACTTACTTGTTCAATAATGGTGCAGTAGCAGCCAAATAGAACCATATAAACCTGCAGTGGGCATTCCCCTCCACGAAACACCAGCGTAGATATCTATGTGAAGTTTGTTTTGAGCAGAGGAAAAACATTCCACAGACTGTAAAACTGCTGTATCATCTCCTGGATATTTGGCACAGATAACCTGCACCCAAAACTTTATATGTACGCTACATATTGCATAACTCCCTGCTGTAAGTACTTAGATCAGTGTATCTATACTGACTCACTGTATTGCCTTCCTGAGAGTTGACCTAAACCCTATGTGTTCCAGAACAATTTGTTGATTATTCATTGACCCTGTGTGGATCTCTTCTCACGTCACAACAGAGTTCGTTACAGGTTATACTTAAGCCAACAAGGGATGAGTCAATTCGCCATCGAAACCATCCAGGAAATGACCACCATCATAGTTATAAGCATAATTTGTTTCTACATGTTGACATACATTACAATACATTCGATTTCACCTTCATTTCTCCTGGAACATGCTTGCTGGAATTGTGTTCACTATACTTAAATCATGTTCATATAAACTGTCTGTTAGAGAAATGTACATGTACAAGATTTAATCATATTATCGGAAAATGTTATATCTTGTTATAGGCAGTCAATCTGATATTTCAGTATTTTGAACAACCATTACGGTATGAGAACGGTCGTTATCTCTTGGTCGCCATCTGGCGTCAGTTGACTTCGTTGTAGACATGAAAAAATACGTGTTATTCTTTTTGTTGGCTTTTCCAGCATGCATTGGACGTACTGGTGCTTGTAAGTATTTATGTTATGATACAATGGAGAGATATTATGGCTTATGTTTATTTTAGTTAGTCAAAGAATATTGTGCCGAGCGCCGCTTGGAAAAGTATTTTGGACATTATTATCGCAGTGCGAAACTTGTGAGTAAAGCCTGGTGAGCTGCTGACGGTTTACCATTTCGGTGGAACTGTCAGAGCGACTGATCTAAGACAACCTCACTCCGAGGTCACATACGGACTGATGTCATTAACCGAGACGATTCCATGACATTTGAAACAATCAGTCATTGTTGATATCATTGGCAAAGAGTCACCGAATCAGGACACCAGGAATGTTTGGAGAATTGCAGTCGTAGTTAGAGTTGGTATTTAGTAATCTATTTTCACAGGGGCCAATTTAGGACAACCATTGTCCAAATGAACATTTAATATCATGAGTAATTTCCAAGTAACCATGACATGTATATGTCTCAATCACTTAACTGCCATTGTTTAAAGGACGCTAATCCCGTAGTTTATCCCCACTGTATTAAACATTGACTGTCAGCAATACCGAATGACAAATGACACCCATTAATTACTGTTGTTAATCCATTTGAGACAACCTTGGGTATGTAGTCCCTGCTCCAAAGACAAACACAAGGACAGTATTAGCATAGAGATAGCGAGGGTTTGGCCAGATGCCTTGTGGCTTCAACCCATCAACCACTTCCACTACCTGCCGATTTTGCGCACAGTGTTTCATAAAGCAAATATTAACCACATAACCTTAACCATAGACTTACGCTTAGTCTCTGAATATATATAATTTTGTTATAACACATAAACCCATTTAGATTGAAAACGAGCCCAGGGAGACCAGAGACTCAGAACCTGGGGTAATCTAGACTTGCTTCATATAGGGCTTTAGCACTGCCGGGATTGCTTGGCTGTAGGGAAAATAATGTGGTTCATGGACTGTGAGACAGACTACCTTAACCATTGCTCACTTACTCACCGATGACCATAAATCGATCCTTTGCATAAAGGATTATGCAATAGTTATCAATCTCACTGCGCGTTGTTCAAACCCACGAGCATCGTATAATGTTGACAAACCTATACGTATAATTATCAGGAACAATGATTCGAACATGCCAGTATTGGTTTCAAATAAGCCTTGGGAAGTCAACTCAAACCGTGTCCTGTAATCATCTGCAATCAACATTAAAGCAAGGTGATGTAGACAAGTCCAAAACTAATTTGAATCATGACATTATGAAATTTACGGTGTTGCAAAACAAATATATTTCATATACGTATTTCTTTACTTACATGCATCAGAATCTTTGCGCTAATTTGCGCTACCCCTTCACTGTAGTTTCCTCTTCCATTGATCCCTTGATTGTCTTGCAACATGTTACATTGTGAACAGGCATATGCCCTCACTTGATTGTCTTGCAACATGTTACATTGTGAACAGGCATTATGCCCTCACTTGATTGTCTCGCAACATGTTGCATTGTGCACAGGCATTATGCATTCACTTGATTGTCTTGCAACATGTTGCATTGTGAACAGGCATTATGCCCTCACTTGATTGTCTTGCAGCATGTTACATTGTGAACAGGCATTATGCCCTCACTTGATTGTCTCGCAACATGTTGCATTGTGAACAGGCATTATGCATTCACTTGATTGTCTTGCAACATGTTGCATTGTGAACAGGCATTATGCATTCACTTGATTGTCTTGCAACATGTTGCATTGTGAACAGGCATTATGCAGTCCCTTGATTGTCTTGCAAAACATGTTGCATTGTAAACAGGCATTGTGCATTCACTTGATTGTCTTGCAACATGTTGCATTGTGAACAGGCATTGTGCATTCACTTGATTGTCTTGCATCATGTTGCATTGTGAACAGGCATTGTGCATTCATGTTGCATTGTAAACTTGCATTCACTTGATTGTCTTGCAACATGTTGCATTGTGAACAGGCATGATTCATTCCCTTGATTCTCTTGTTTGTCTTGTTTGCTTTCATGTTGCCGTCTTGTGAGAGAAGTACTGGTGCGTCAAGAAAACCGTGCTATCTTACTAACTGTGTAAATGGAGGGTGTTACCGATAGGGCTAAACCTTTTCGTGATCATCTGATATCATCACTGATTTTAACAATTCCAACCCTCAGATTTTCACACCTATTTTATGCAATGTGGAATCTAAAGATTTATCTTCCATTGATTTTTTTAATATGTCAGATATGTTGCATATTTTAAACAATCGTCATAAAATGAAGTCATTTTTTCTGAGGTAGTATCGGAACGGTATCCTCACCGAAACTTGAGTTTCGCCAGTTACTATGGCGACCACATGGTTTTGCAAAAGGCCCCCAAGAGAGCCAATATCTGGGGTTATGCATCCACGTACTCGGATACTGTGCGCATCTCTCTTGATGGAACACCACTCGGAACGACAAGTAGTAGGATAGGCCCTTCGCCTGGGACCAGTGTTTGGTCATTCCAACTTCCGGAAACGGCGGCCGGTGGACCCCATACACTAACTGCAGAAACCAGTCAAGAAAAGATAACCCTGTCTGATGTAATGTTCGGCGATGTGTGGATCTGTTCAGGGCAGAGCAACATGCAGTTTACGTTGAATATGGTAAGATGGATTAGCCAAGCAAGAGAATGCCATGTCCGGAAAATTGTCAGCCAAACACAGGAAAAAGACGATCACTTAAGAGCAAATTGATTTAGGTCCGCCATAATGGCGACAGGCTAGTTCTTTTTTGAAAAAAATATTCTTAAATACCTACAGTAAAACTTCCTACATTCGAGTGTGTATGTCTTCATTTTTTAAGCATATGCGTTAACTGTATAGTAAAACATATAATAAAACATTTGAGTCAGTATTTAAAACTTATGTGATTGTACGGCGTATTGTTTGATGACATTGTCATTCTATAATCGCCCGATGGCCCTTACGGGAAAACACTAGTTCCACTCGCTGGTATATTTGAAGCAGCTCAATCATATGCATATACATTTCCATTGTGAACCCGACACACTTCACGTGCTACTTGACAGGCTTTCAATGCTTCTGAAGAGATGGCTGACGCCGTGAACTATCCCAATATCCGAGTGTTCACTGTAACGCTTGGTGGCTCGAGTACTCCTCAGTACGACTTGCTGTCTGTGGAGGAGGCGTGGACCTTACCATCTAATGGCAAGTAATGCTGTAACCTCTTAACAACATACGGTTATTATGAATCTGGATAAATTAGAACGCTTATATAACTGTTAATTGTGTTTTTATCACCACAGTGCGTTTCATGTATATTCTTCATCTCACAATGGCCGTTGAATTACTTCACATTGCTAGGATTATGTTGTATGTTTGCAGACAGCCTTGGCCATTCCCCTTGGTCGTACTTCTCTGCTGTGTGCTGGTTGTATGGAAAATACCTTTCCTCCACTCTGAACTATCCCGTTGGTCTCCTAGCAACGTCTTATGGTGGGACACGTGTAGAGCTGTGGTCGTCTCCGGATGCTCTTAAACAGTGTAACATGGACGGCGACCCGCTCAGGTTGGTCATGAGTGAGTGAGTTTAGTTTTACGCCACTCTCAGCAATATTCGAGCTGTATGGCGGCGGTCTGTTAATAATTCAGACTGGACCAGATAATCCAGTGATCTACAACATGAGCATCGATCTGCGCAAATGGGATCCGATTACATGTGTCAACCAGGTCAGCAAGCCTGACCACCCACCGCTTCTTACGACAAGCATGGGTTGCTGAAGACCAGTTCTTCACGTGTCAGGTTGGTCATGACATGGAAGTGTCATCAGACATCACATTGCCGTACAGTTTGTACTATACATTCTGTGCGGCTCATGGAGATAGCAACGATATACCGATAACAGATACTACCAGTCTCATGTTAGTGGAACAGTTACTGCTGGATAGTGTAAACTGGATAGTAAACTTGAAAATTCGATGTCACTCATGTTAGACGGGTCATGGTAGATGCACAGATCTCATTCAACATATCATTAAAGAATTCAATTTCATCACCATATCCCTAGACATAAATGGTTACGTTGAAACATACACAATATAAGTTTGTGATAGCAGGGTCGGTACAAATGCAAGGAAAGACATTGATGCCATGGGTTTCTCTTCACTTTGGAACGCAATGGTCCGACCGCTGGTCAACATGACAATATACGGTACCATTTGGTATCAAGGTGAGTTAACAGCAGCTCAGAACTGTTTCAGCACAAGGTTCTATTATATTGTGACCATTTATTTATTTATTTATTTATTAATTTGTTTGTTTGTTTGTTTGTTTTGATAAAATGTGAATGTTAGTCTTTTTAAACGTTATAGAACCGGATGTGCAGGCACACGTGGGTTCAGTAAAATGAAAATACATTCGACACATACTGTCTCTTTCAGTCTGAAACAGACGGGTGTCCTGAATCTTTAGGTTGAAGTCATATAAATGATTACTAACCTACTGTACTTGTCAGTATTTGTCTTCAGCAGACTCAAAAAGCCAATATTTCAGGAGAATCAAATCGCCATGACAACACCGGTGTGGCTATCTATGACTGTACTTTCCCCGCCATGATCGACGATTGGAGACTGAAGTTCTCTCTAGGATCGGAATCTCAGACATCAGATATGTTTCCATTTGGCTTTGTCCAGGTAATCTTTGATAGCATACATACCGTAATGACGGGATAAACGTGATGTTGGTTTATGTGACCCAACTGTAGATTTAGCTGCACCACATTTCAAAAGGATATAGGTTTATCTGTCTGTAAATGGTCCGCTGTCTGAGAACGAAACGGGGTTACCGGAAGTTACAAGTCTAGCAATATGACGTTAGTTGTCTCTTTTACTTTAAACATCCAGCTTGCTCCATGGGAAAACAATGACACCATTACTACAGGCTTCACAGACATTCGGTGGCACCAGACAGCTGACTACGGCTTCGTCCCTAACGACAGGATGAAGAACACTTTCATGGCGGTGGCCATGGACCTGCCGGATTTCTCGTCTCCGTATACAGGGTTAATATACACTTTGTTTGCAATAACATTTGGATGCAGCATTTCGAAATTTAAAAAAAATAGGTATGTCTCAAAAATATAGATGAGAGATCAATATTCTGCAAGGACAATGTACAGATTATATGTGTTTGAAAGAAATGCGATACTGAACATATGTGTGTCTCTAAGACCTGCCAGGTTTCAATTCTCGCCATTATCAACATGTCTCTAGGTGTGTGTGCACAAAACCAAGTTCGTGATTCTACAAAGTGGTAAGCCTTTGTTACTTCATAGTATCGCTTCCGGTGTTCCTCCCTCAAGTTATCCAGTCCTACAGTGACGAAAACTTCATTGCATCATCTTTAAAACCAACAGCTAACTTAACTGTAACATTCAGAACTCTGATATATCATTCACATTAATGTTTCGTAGTTTATGTTCTTAAAAGAGTATGTTAACACTCACTATGCCCGCTATTTTCAAATGACTTGGGTGCTTACGTGTATTGATATAAAATTTATTTAATGGTAGAACTGTTGTGTTTCCGGCTCACAACTCGAGTTGTGAGTTGGGACTCTCCATCCGAGTCCTCTATGGTGATCGACTGAATAGGGGCTCACCTATGTAAGATAGCGTTATTCAATATCCGGTTCCACGGATCACTGCTCATGCTTATATCGATGGTGTTCCCAGTCCAAATTAGACCAATACAGATCATTGTTTCTACCTAGAATATTGCTGCCTGTTCTGGTAGACAGCATTCGCACATCCGTAAAAGAACTTTTATATGAAACCTAATTCGGATATTATATTCCAACATGATTAGTTTTAGACAATAACTCACTGATGGCTACGTATACTTGAATCACTTTCTAATCAGTATTCACCCCCGAGACAAGCAGGACGTGGCGCGGAGGCTGTACACAGAGGGCCTGGCTGTCGCCTACAACCAAACGGAGATGGTTAACCTACGGGGACCGTTCCCTGCAGGGTTCCGTATACCAACAGGGGACAACAGAACTCTGGCCATAACCTACAATAATCAACCAATGGGAATAGAAATAAGATCGAATGATGGGTTCGAGGTAAGTGTAATATTTCAACCAAACATTCAGTTATAATGAATAATATAGTTATAATATACCAACCGGAGAGCGGAAACAAGTGTACGAACTGACGTTTAAAGCTGCTACTTATTGTTACCTCATGGTACATGGGCATTAATGGGATAAAACAGTGAGTGAAAATGTACCGTCGCATTAGTAATTGTTTCTGCCATATAGAGACTAGGTTTACACATATACACAAATACATAACTACACAAAGTTTTCAAATACGCATTTTAACATCACAGTATTATATATTTACAATTTATAGAAGACAGGCTGTAAGAATATTATTTACAATATAAATAGTAGCTATAACAGAACTATTTACAATCTACAACACAGACCAAATGTCCAAATAGTAAACTAGCAAAAAGAAATGTACATAAAATTTATTTGCACTCAGGACGTAGTCACAATTGTACAATCGACTGTGCTATTAGCACAGACTTCTTATGGATGTGAAAAAGGTTTTGTCGCATCTATTATGGTACAGATCGGTTTGTTTCAAGTAAATCATCACAATATGACAGTTCATATGGACTCGGATTATTATGTTGTGTGTGAGAAAGGTGTCCATGCTAAACAGTATGGTATCTCCGTGTGCTGACACTACATTGCTGTCGTGTATTTAGCAGAAAAATTCAATCTCAAGTTTTTGTAACTCGATGTATCTATTGACAGTTGGACTACAAATTAATTAATTAAGGTGATATTGCTTAGTTTCCTACTTAGGATATCTTGTCTGTAGTTACGTGGTTAAATTTCTTCAGAGAGTTTATTGCTGGCTTGTCATGATTTTAAAAAGATCACGAGTTGTAATAATACAATATTAAGACTAAGCAGTAAAATATATGTTGTTGTTTTTAAATAATTTCATGTTCTCTTTGAACATGCACTTTGTATTATCAGTTTACACATTTAAGAAATCCATTTCATCACACATTCAGACAGCATTTGTCTTGTCAGGTGTGTTGCATTCAAACTCCGACAACTGATACTTCGACCTACTGTGCCCTGTCTGACGATGTGTGGCGTCCTGCTCCTATTCGGACGTCAGACAGGAGGTCTGTGACTCTCTACTACGGCCAGGCATGCGACTCTAAGGAGAAGCCCTCCATTGGCGCTATACGTTATGCGTGGAGGGAATCGCCATGTCAGTTCAAAAAGTGTGCTGTATACAACAAGCTCAGTGGTTATCCAGCTCCTCCCTTCGTCAGATATATTGTGTAGACTTTGTTATAGAAATACAATCATTTCCCGAAAACTGTTCTACGTGTTATCAAGACTTGAGTAGAGAATTATGCATCATCACTCTCCATTTGTAAATGAATAAATTATTATTCAATATATGAGTTGTCTCTCTTCAATCCATATTGCACCACAATAAAGTGTATATTCAGTGCATCGAATACTCACTTTAAAACATGTGAATATTCATTCCTATCTAGTTCCTCTGTTAACCAGCTTAAATTTTGATCATATATTTCCAATATTTTCTTGCTTTTTATTGATTCCGGGTTACAACTAGTTCTTGACATTCTTGTATGATTGTACAGGCGACTATTGGGTCAGAGTGGTCTGGTGGCTTGATACCGTTCCAGTCATGTCATCTTTCCAGAACTTTTCTGGCACTCTGTTTACTAGGGGTGGGTCTTGCAGAGAATTTTCATATTGCGATATATTGCGATGCAAAAGCATATATTGCGATATATATTTCAATATATTGCAAGAAGTATTTTTTAACAAAACACTACTTATATTCGAGTTAATGCTTAGTTCATTAAGCATGAACACAACAAAATCACTATGCTTGATTAAGCTTTAATAAAAACTTTCAATCATGACAAAATAAAAATGTAAATAATATTTGGCACAAATGAAACAAGGAAATATCCGAGGATTTTCGAGTGTTACGAAGTTTTCCGAATGCAAGTCAAAATACCGGTTTTCGATCAGCGTATCGCAATACTAATCGTTCTCATGTCTGAACCGGTAAATACCTGTAAACCAGTTATTTTGCGCAGCCCTACTGTTTACACTCAATCACTGGTTTGTCTGGTCTAGATTCGATATTTCAGGAAACTGTCAAGTAGTGTAATACTGCTGTCTACGGCGTTAAATAGCAAGCAGCGACATGTGGCACACTGTATGTTACACAATCTGCAGTGAGCGACGAAGCACGAGTTTAAGTATATAAACGATTATATCTTAGAGATTATCATCACAGATCAGATCTATGTAGGATGTACGTAGTGAGTGAGTGAGTTTAGTTTTAGGCCGCTCTTAGCAATATTCCAGTAATGTCATGGCGGGTGGAAACCATAAATGGGTTTTTGGTATAACTGTGGTGTGTGCCTATGTCTACATAGAAAGTAGTCCATACATCGAACATATACTCAGCAGCAAAAAGAAACGTCAGTACGAAATAACAATTAGATGTAATCAAATCATTACAGAAATTGACATAATCAGTGGATCAAAAACATTTTGTGTGTACAATATCGTGACACATCAATGAATAACTCAGCAGAACTCAAGACAGTAAGTGAGCGTTTGCAGTCCATTCAGACTCTTGACTTCAGTATCTAGTGTGACCACCACGAGCGGCAATAACTGCAGCGCAGCGTCAATGCATGTGCACCAATTGATTGATGAAGGCCATTGGCACCTTGAACCACACTCTGAGAAAGGTCTGGCGCAATACATCGGCTGTGTTCGGCCTTGGTATGACATCATTCAGTCTCCTCCGAATTTCATCCCAAAGATGTTCAATTTGGTTTAAATCAGGACTAAGGGCTGGCCACTGCATAATGTTGACACCGTTGTGCTGTAGGAAGTCCCGTGTAGGTCTGGCAGTATGAGCCTGGGCGTTATCATGCTGGAAAATGTTGTTCTGGTGACGTACTAAATGTGGTATGACGTGGGGTCTGAGAGCTTGGTCTATGTAGCGGGCCGCAGTGATGCCGCCTCCTCTCACTGGACCAAGGTTCTGGAACACCACAGGACCCACTCTCTGGTTCAGGCCTATTCCACCCCATACCATGATGCTTGCACCTCCCCATGAGTTTGGTCTGAGTAACGCTAGCCACGTCGTCGCCATATTCTTGTTCTGCCATCTGCAGTTGATGCGCAGTACCGACTCTCATCTGTGAACAGAACAGTTCTCCATTGCCTGTATCGCCAGTTTTGGTGTTGTAGGGCAAACTGGAGACGTTCACGCCGATGACGATGGATGAGGATAGGTCCACGGTAAGGTCTGAGGCAATGGAGGTTCCCGCTGTTAAGACGTCGGCGTACTGTATCAGTACTGATTGGTCTTCCGTGTGTTCCCACTGTCTGGCGTACTGTTTCGGATGCCTGCATGAAGGGATTCTGTACATGCTGTCGCACAACATGGCGGTCTTGTCGTCTTGTGGTCACCCTTGGTTGCCAGTACGGGAGCGATCATTTGTGGTGTTGGTGGCCCGGAAACGTTGCTGCATCCTGTAGATGTGAACGTTGACCTGAAAGTGATTGGCAACGGCTTGTGCAGTGTGGCCAGCTTCAAGTCTTCCTAGCGCCTAGTTCCTCTGAGCTGTCGTGAGTCGCGGCATCCCGCTGACGTTGTTATGTGAATGTTTCAACCAGGTTTGGGGTGCATTTTATAGGGCTGGTCCTTGTGAACAGCACGTACAGCATTAGTTGCATGAAAAACATGGAGAACACCGTACCATCTCCGAGATCAGGTTGCGTTTTTTTACCATTTCCTGGGTTCCATTCTGAGTTTGGGAAGGAATGTCTTTGCTCAGGTAAAGTTGGAGATGTTGTCAAAAATATACAATCAAAACATGAAATGAGTTCACAGTTATCCGCGTACGTCATGCCAAGGCTTACAGAAAATCAGCGTCTCCGCGCCATTGGTATGCTGGATCCTGGAATGGCACAAAATGAAGTGGCAAGACATTTTGGTGTGCATCGAAACACGATCTCATCTCTATGGAGACGTTTTCAACATAATAGGAACACGAGCGATTTGCGTCGGACTGACCTTCAGCAAGACAACCACATTTGGCTGACACATCTAAGGAATCGATTCTAGACGGTCAGTTTGACTGCTCGGATCATTCCTTTCGTCCAATCGGTTCCAGAACTGTGACGCGTGCGTTGTTCAACGTCGACGGTTTGATGGCGGAAGCGTTATGGTATAGGGAAGCATCATATCTCATGGTCGGACACAACTTGTCATTGCCAGTGGCAATCTGACAGGTCTGCGATACAGGGATGAGATCATTGGGCCTCATGTGCAGCCGTTCATTCAAGGACAGAGACGTAACTACACGCTTCAGCAAGATAATGCCCGTCCACATGTCACTAGTTGTGACAGATTTCCTGAGTCAGCAGAACATTCCGGTACTCCCCTGGCCAGATGTTTCTCTGGACCTGTCCCCTATCGAGCACGCTTGGGATGAAATGGAGCGACGTTTACGTCAAGCCCAGAATCAGCCATTGGCGTTAGCTGAATTTGTTCAGACATGGAATAACATTTCCCAAGCTTTCTTCAATGGCATAGTGTCGCGTAGTGTCGTCTAGGCGTCGTCGTTGTCAAGCCTGTATCAACGTCAATGGTGGACACACCCAACGTTGAATTTGTGAACTGACTTTTGACTTCACATCTTCGAGGGCGTGTCACGATGCTTAGTGTCAGATCATACATATTTCGATATCTTCCTGTCAACAGTTAAGCATTGATTAAGGAAAACACCACTAAACATGTTATTATCCTTTTGCATTAAAACTGGCATAACATCAAATAATGCACAGTTACCTTATTCCAGTAGTATACATACATGCTAATAACTAATAGATCTAGGAGTTCTGTAATATGAGCAGCACATTAAACACTACCCTCACATTTCTAAATATAAATAACCACTTTTCGAGAGAAAGGTAAAATTACTCGGTATCAGCTGCGTAACAGTTCGTAGGAATATTTCATGTTGCATTCACTTTGAGAAACATTTTTGCGATCGGCGATCTGGTAGTTTGTTTAACTACATTGACGCAAACTGAATTTCCCTACGTGTTGACACGGTTGATATAATGCCATGTAGTGCAGGTTGACAATAAATGAGAAGAAAAGAAATATAAGGTTAACACTCAATGCATCTGTAATTCTCTCAAAATCCGAAATGTCGGGGTGGAGGTGGGGGAGAGATACACTTAGTGTAGTAATTCACACATGATGTACCGCAGTCTCGGATCTTGCGACACCCACATCATGCGAGTATCCAGAAGAAACACGTCAAGGCGCTTCTAGAAAATAGTGTCTATATTTGTGTGTATGGTCAACAAGTTTGTGATATTTGAAAGCAGGAGAGCACAACAGACTAAAGTGGGCGTCTCGCCTTGCATTTCTTATTTCATTGGATTTACAAAAATATGAAAATACGTGCCAGGCATTTTTCACTACGTCATTCATGAACACGCTCGACGATAACGTTATGAAAGCCTGACCGTCAACGTTTGTTTCGCCTTATGGCGTCTGTCTGTTTTGCCATTTACCGAGAAGACAGCAGCTATGTCGGACAACCCAAGTGACCCGAATGTCCCTGTTCGTCAAGTCCTATCTCTGTCGAGGCGCCCAGGCTGGGTTATGGACAAAATGTCCTCAGCGTATGTAGTAAATATGGCTGTGGATTGTAGGTTGTTTAGATATCCCATGATATGTCCAGTGTTTTTGCCCACGAGAAATGTCATTTCTATGTGATTTTCCATGAGAGTCTGCAACCACAAATCCATTTTTCAACCAGCAAACTATATAGTTCTAGTCCATGTAGAAGGGGTGCCTGAAGGGGACCGTGGAAACTGGTTTGGGTGTCTTCTCATCGACCGGTGTGCAGTGTCTCCAGGTCTTGTAAACAACCTTCCAGAGAACACGGCAGCTATCGAAAGGTAGGTCCACTTTTGAGCCGATTCTAGCATCTGCCGCACCTTGTGGATATCCAGACGCGTCTCTTCTTATTCCTCCTCTATTTCCTCATGGAGTTCTTCTTCTTCTTCGTCGTCGTCCAGCCTAGCTAGACAAGATGTCGACCAACATCTTCGCGTTTTGCTCTAAACGAGCCGACAACATCGTCGCAGTTTGCTCCACACGAGCCGACAACATCGTCGCAGTTTGCTCAACACGAGCCGACAACGTCGTCGCAGTTTGCCCCACACGAGCCGAACAACATCGTCCCAGTTCGTTCCACACGAGCCGACAATGTCGTTGCAGTTTGCTCCACACGAGCCGACAACATCTTCTCGTTTTCCTCCACACGAGCCGACAACATCTTCTCGTTTTCCTCCACACGAGCCGACAACATCGTTGCGGTTTGCTCCACACGAGCCGACAACATCGTTGCAGTTTGCTCCACACGAGCCGACAACATCGTTGCGGTTTGCTCCACACGAAACATCGTGACAACATCGTCGCAGTTTGCTCCACACGACAACATCGTTCGCGTACAACATCATCGCGGTTTGCTCCACACGAGCCGACAACATCGTTGCAGTTTGTTCCACACGAGCCGACAACATCGTTGCGGTTTGCTCCACACGAGCCGACAACATCCAGTTTGCTCCACACGAGCCGACAACATCGTTGCGGTTTGCTCCACACGAGCCGACAACATCGTTGCGGTTTGCTCCACACGAGCCGTACAACATCATCGCGGTTTGCTCCACACGAGCCGACAACATCGTTGCGGTTTGCTCCACACGAGCAGACAACATCGTCGCAGTTTGCTCCACACGAGCCGACAACATCGTTGCAGTTTGCTCCACATGAGCCGACAACATCGTTGCAGTTTGATCCACACGAGCCAACAACATCGTTACAGTTTGCTCCCACACGAGCCGACAACATCGTCGCGGTTTGCTCCATGACACGAGCCGACAACATCGTTTTGCTCCACACGCAGTTTGCTCCACACGAGCCACAACATCGTTGCGGTTTGCTGTTCACATGAGCCGACAACATCGAGCCGACAACATTACGTTGCGGTTTTGCTCCACACGAGCCGACAACATCGTTTGCTCCACACGAGCCTCCACACAACATCGTTGCCGACAACATCGTGTTATCGCTTTTGCTCCACACGAGCCGACAACATCGATCATTGCTCGTGCAGTTTGCTCCACACGAGCCGACAACATCGTTACGGTTTACTCCACATGAGCCGACAACATCTTCTCGTTTTCCTCCACACGAGCCGACAACATCTTCTCATTTTCCTCCACACGAGCCGACAACATCGTTGCGGTTTGCTCCACACGAGCCGACAACATCGTTACGGTTTGCTCCACATGAGCCGGCAACATCATTGCGGTTTGCTCCACATGTGCCGACAACATCTTTTCGTTTTCCTCCACACGAGCCGACAACATCTTCTCATTTTCCTCCACACGAGCCGACAACATCGTTGCAGCAGTTTGCTCCACACGAGCCGACAACATCGTTGCGGTTTCCTACACACGAGCCGACAACATTGTTGCTGTTTGCTCCACACGAGCCGACAACATCGTTGCGGTTTGCTCCACACGAGCCGACAACATCGTTGCGGTTTGCTCCACACGAGCCGACAACATGGTGGCAGTTTGCTCCACACGAGCCGACAACATCGTCGCAGTTTCCTACACACGAGCCGACAACATCGTCGCGTTTTGCTCCACACGAGCCGACAACATCGTTGTGGTTTGCTCCACACGAGCCGACAACATCGTTGCAGTTTGCTCCACACTAGCCGACAACATCGTCGCAGTTTCCTACACACGAGCCGACAACATCGTTGCAGTTTGCTCCACACGAGCCATGAGCCTCCCCAAGCGGTCGTAGAAGTCCTCGATGGTTGGCGATGTCGGAGCTATCTCGCCGGCGGGCAAGAGGGTCGAAGGTTCTGCAGCAGGCTCTTGCCATAGCTCGTGCAGCCTTGTGGACCCGATACCGAAGCGCTTTTTGACCTCTCTTGCTGTGAGCACACCACGAAGGGAGCATATTTCTTGGATCTGGTCCGAAGACAAATCTCTTTTTGGTGGCATGGTTGTATTTTTTCCTGGGTATATATATCCCATACATGTCAATGTCTATATGGAAATCAGATACAGATACATACAGATTTTATTAGTGACTTTAAGAGACTCAGGAAGATTAACATTTAAATTCATATGGTATACAACCAATTAGAGAAACAACAATCATATGGTATACAACCAATTAGAGAAACAACAATCATATGGTATACAACCAATTAGAGAAACAACATTCATATGGTATACAACCAGTTAGAGAAACAACAATCATATGGTATACAACCAATTAGAGAAACAACAATCATATGGTATACAACCAATTAGAGAAACAACAATCATATGGTATGCAACCAATTAGAGAAACAACATTCATATGGTATGCAACATGGCTACTGTCAGAGAACTAAAAGCTCTCGTGAAAAGTCGTGGACTGACCTTCCTGTACATTACACATGTTAAAAGACCGTAAAAGAGCTAAAATCTCTCGTGAAACATTATTCTTGTATGGGAGAAACCATACTGCTCACCTTGCTGGAACACACCGAGCCGGTCGAAATACGGTTCGTGCTGACAGACCACGCCATGGGTAACTATTTGAGGCTGGCGGATGGTAGTGAATTCTAATATCGATGTCAACGACGTTAAACCCCTCATAGCTAGAAAGATCAACGAGGAGTTGGACGATTTAAAAAGTATTAAATATCAGCTCACTATTAAAATGTCGCTTAACAACCAGCAGACAGATGGTAGTACCGAGTACATCGAACCGAGTACATCAAACCTTATTTCAGGCAAGCAGGAGGTTATCACCAAATCCGACTATCCCTTCGACCATCGATACCCCGTTACAAAAAATACAAGAATCATTAGAAAAATATACCCACATGGGCTCTGGATGGGTGGTGGATCGTATTGATACCATCTATGTGGATATAGCGAACTACATGCCGTTCAAAGGCGGATCGTACCTCCCGGTACCCAAGCATTTCAGGGGAAAAAGGCCATCATTAACCCAGAAACCAAAGGGGATAATGTTAATAATTATTGTGCGGTGGTGTTGCCTTATTTAAAACCCCACACCGGAGGAATCTTGACTCGATTTCACGGGTGTAGAACGCCTCACACCCATCTCCTCCTGGATGAGATTCGAAAAGCAAAACAATTTAGTCGTCAACGTGTTCAGACACGAGGGGGATAGGGTTATTGTGCACAGGAAAAGCCCTGTCCTAGATAAAACCGTCGCAGGCTGTTGTACAACCAATCCTCACAAAGCGAAGAAGTATTTTTGTGAGAGATGTCTGCACGGGTACAGTCACACTGAACTACTAGAGGCGCAGGAAGAAGACTGTCGAGGTGTTGGAACGGTGGCTATAATTCCAAAGTACTCCAAAGCTCAGAGAAATTTCATATCATGACATTACACACAATCCCCAGTGTAATCTTCTGGAGAAAGACCAAGGTTAGAAAGCAACTGTTGTCATTGATCGAATTATTTAAAAGATATCTTGGGTTCCAATTCCAAATGTGATTTTATTCAGATTTAATCCTCTGAAGAATCAACTGTCATCAAAAGAGTGAACTGTGTGACTAGTACTAAGTCGATGTCGACCTCAGTGAATGTGGAGAAGATACATCAAAGTTCAGAAAAAGAAATTTTTCCAAGCAGCGTTAAACCGATTTCCTAACTCACTCGTATGTGACAGAAATAACTACCCCAAGCACTCGTACATTGGATTTATTCTGTCGTTACGTCAAAATGGTGATACTGATTTTAATATTATTGTGCAAGATATCGTCTCGAAAATGCATTAGGAAAATGTAATGAACATTAATTTCGAAATATCACAAAAGTGAACACGTTTAAACACAAAAGCCCCAACATAACATCACAAGTGACATAAAACATGAATGATTGTAGAAATCAATAGTTTATAGAAACAACAAATAAAAGGCGATTGGAACAGCAGTATAATTCAGTCGTCTATATATAACTGAAATGGCAGCTTAACTTAAGTATAATTGAGCTATCGGTCAAAATCTGGTGTCTAGGAAGAAGTGCGATAGTAGCATATTTGATGTGATTAGGAATACCTTCAAGTAACAAGTGCGAAAGTTGCATTCGGAATAGCCGAGATATTAGTATGATTCAGGCGATTAGCAGTAACTAAGATAGCAGAAAAAAAACAGGCGCCTAGTAATAAGTGGGATACCAGCATACTAGAGGAGATCAAGAACAACTGAGATATCTGTATTATTAAGAGGTCTTGAAATAAGTGAGATAGCAGCATATTTGAGGCAACTGGGAATACCTGTACTATTAGCAGTATTATTTAAGAGTATTGTAATAAGTGAAGTAGTAGCGTAATTGAGGAGACTAGTGATAGATGAAATTACCACAAAGGGATCTGCCCTTCAGGTATGATAATCATGGTTTCAAACACAGAACTGTTCAAGCTTGCACTTTCAACGTCTATAAAATATATATATGACAGTTATATTCACACTTTCCAATCGAAGAATTTCCCAGACGTATCAAATTGTATCCCGACACCTGTCAACTCCAAAGAAGAGCTCCTGGTATGGATTTCAACACATGTACACACTTTTCTGTCGAGAATTCTTCAACCATCTGGTTATAATGTAGTGTTCTACATTTGCTGCTGCTCATGCTCATAAACACTCATGCATATACAAGAGCCAGGAGACTGCCAATGCCGAAACACATGAAGCATACAAAGAAAATACAATCTAGCATCCTGTCCAGAGGCACCTTCCTGGTCGTAACAGTGTCAGCGTCTCGAGTTCCTTGTCCAGAAGGGACACAGTCAGTGTTGTCCTGAGGCGTGACCTTCACCTGTCTGCATCCTTGGGGGTCTCCGCTGTCCTGGACATTCTGGCGGCGGTGGTGGACATTTTGGACCAAGATGGTGGCAGCGATGGCGAGAAAGCCTTGGATCTGGACCATAACGAGGTACATGGAGAGGTTGGAAACAGAATCAGAAGTTGAGGGTGTGGAGTTGTGGATTAGACTGAGGAACAGGGCATTTGACACAAACACGGTCATGACAAAGCCCATCTTCTCCCCCGAGCTAGCCGGCAACAAAAAGACGAAGCTGTTGAGGACAGACTGAAGACACATTGGGAAAACCAGGTTCAAGACGTGGAACAAGTACTTCCTGGACAGATGTATGTAGAATGTGGCTAGCTCGTAACTTTCTGTTTCTGCATAAGTTGTTTTAGCCGATGTAATGTTTACAGTCTCCCATTCCCCATTGGTTTGCAGGTTCAAGCCGTCACCGCCAATAGTGATTTCTGGTTTTAGGGTGATCTTGTATCCCACTCCTGAAGAAAACAACATTGGACAGATCTGACTGTCAAAAGGGTATTTTCTCAGATCTGTTTTGCACAGGACAGATACTGTCATCGCATTCTGCCAGAAAAGACGACCATCATATGTTAATGTGACAGGCATTGACGTCTGCAAGGGGCCATCACCCGAGGCCTTATTCGCCAGAATCACAGTAGGTGTCCATAGTTCCTGCACTGCAAGTTCCACTCGATCTATACCTGAGTAATCCGAGGGATTCCACTTCAGAGAGTTGTCCGTCCAGACAAGGGTTACAAAGAACCCCAATTTCAGAATTTGGTTGGCATCATCTAGATCATGCACTTGCACCGGCCCAAGTGTGATAGTCACATAAGGAACATGTGTCCGTGAGACGATCGGTGGTCCTTTCGCATCAAGACGAGACTTCAATGTCTCCAGACTCTGTCTCCAGTCATCTAGATTCCCGAAGACAATTGGTGACACTAGGGAGGCAGCCGCAAAGACGAACATCAGCCTAACACAGCTCATCGTCACACCTGGCCACCTGGCTGTGTAACTAACGAAGACAGAAGTAGATGTTGCTAGATACGTTATATACAGTTCCACTGCGCAGATTCATACGTTGACCTATGCCTGAATCCGACTTTTAATGGGAGTGAATACGTCCACACACATATTACAGCGGAAATACAGTCTCCAATTACTGACAATGAATTCTCGAACATGAAGCCTAAAATATAAGCCATAGCTTATCAGCACATCATGCCGCGCTGGACGGAATCTAATATGTACAAAAACTAGCTTCAGCGTTAATCGGTATCGACATTATATGGTGAGACCAGTGCAATTCGTGCGACTGGGTGGCAGACAGATTGTCTATCTGGCAGGTATGGTAAATACCCTTAATGCACATAAATGGAATACAAACTAAGAGGATTGCTGCAACACTGGCTCTGGCCATGTCGCCATTCTAGCTAATCGACCTGAAGGTAAATTGGAAAATTGGATAAAATATCAACAATAAAGTATGTACACTGTTATGACGACTTTCTGCGATTCACGGCCTGTTTTTTTTAACAAGAAAACTAACTCACGTCTGTATCTCAGAACTCAGAAACTTTACATTTTCAGAGACTAAGCGTTTGTCTAAACAGTAGTGGGGAGGTGTGGGTGGGGGTCGGGTTGATGAATGCGTAAATCTAACATACTGAACCCCAACTTTATTTATTTCTTTAAATTTGTAAATGGAAAAGTAAGCCTTAAAACGTTGTTCTGTACGGGTTTGAGAAATAATCGATCTTGGAGTGAGTTCATGTATGTTTCAGTTGAGACCACATAACCACACCACAGGTGAGAGTGTAATCCAACACCCGTTCCATGATTAGACAGGGTGTTACACTGTTCAATATATTCTACTGTACATGCAATCCCCGACATGTGCCCTTCGGTCGAGCAAATGAACACCGAATGTGTCATATCAGTTTAATATTATTTTACACGCCGATTGAGTTTGGAAGAGTTAATCGGTGAAACATTTCCCAACATAAACTTGCTACTGACAACTATCACGAAGGGCAATACACGTATAACATGATGGACAAGATGTTGCCACCTACACACGAGTGGGGTACTTGGACCATCTCTACAGTGTTTGTGGGAGGTGTGGAAAAATATATCCACTTACAGCGCTGCCCCTGAAGGAAATATACTGGAAAATACCCTACATTCACATGTTGTTTATCAGCGTAAGGTAAATTGTCATGTCAACGGAATGGCATGAGATTGTGGACCTAAAGTTCAATGTAAACATGCACACCTCTTTGCCATTATTCTCTTAGTTATTCGATTTCAGTTCTGATTTGTTAATGCAGTACGCTAATAAACATCTTCAGTCACCATGGCAACTCAAAAAATATACTTAAGAAAAACCGGAATGGGAAGGGCCTGGCACGAGGACGCGTGCTTTAACTATAATAGTTCAGGGCGAAAGTGTATTTTATTACACTATACATGGTGGTAGAGCGAACTGTATTTCTTTTCTAAGATGCCAAATTTAATACTGTCTAAGGATAATTACGATGAATTTAAGGCAGAAAACAAACAACGGTGTCGGTGACCTGAAGTAAGAATCCTCGCACAGGGCTAACTGGCGCGCTGTTCTATTGATGTGTCTGCCCCCCTACGTTAAGACGAACGTTACCACAAAAAACAAATGATAACAGTTTAATGACGGTTTACGTTCGGATTAAATATCTTCTCTGAATTATTTTAATTACATCTGTCATTAACGTATACCATATGGGGCAATATGAACGTCGCATTTCTACTACCAACGTAAGTTTAGATCCGTACATCCAGATGAAGCTGAATAGTCAAGCGACATTCCACGATTGCATTGTGGGAATGTAAACATTGCGAACGTTACCGTGTCGCTGAAAACTTGTGAGTCGAATTGACACATTTTAACCGTCGTAAAACATAAACGTAATGTTTCCACCAGTGATGTCAGCTGCGTGAAGCAACTGCAAACCAAGAAACGGGATGCAACGCGGTAGTTTCTACTGTAGGAGGCCGTACAGAGAGAATACTACACTCGGTCTCATTACATACGAATTACACGAAACTCGTGACCTTCCTATGGTTTCTGACCTCGGTCAGAAACCATAGGAAGAACACTTGTTTCGTATAATTCGTATGTTATGAGACCTCGTGTAGTATTTTATTTATTACCCACGTCTTACATGCATTAAATTGACAAAATAACGTATTTTTGTTATTGTTTTGGTTTCAATCCGAAACCGGTTTCATAAAGAGGTTGCGGAAGAATATTGTTCTGTAGTCACTTTTGCATGACATCACACTGTATTGACGTCACTACGCCATTCTCGTCTGCTCCCTTTGTAACCGACGTCACGATGCACGTCAGTTGTCATCGCCTCGTACAGCCTCGTACAGTAAACTAACATCACTGGTGGAAACATTGCCTTTATGTTTTGCGACGGATATAATGTCTCAGTTCGATTCACAATTAAACAGCGATACGGCAACGTTCGCAATGTTCACATTCCCACAATGCATATAAGTTGTAGAATGAATGATTTCACGTGGTTGTTATGAATGAAAAAGTAGTTCCGTCACAACGTGACCTAATTGAGAGGTCATCTGTTATCCAATCAAATCGTTAGAATCTCAGGCCAAGTCGTTATGACACAGGATGTAAAGCACTAAAACTATACTTCGGTCAAGTTGGGATCTCTGTGTGCTCATTAGAGTACCAACATTTTGGATAAGAGACTGTATGGAGATGCACATCATTACACGTTCTGAAATTATCAATTTAACGTGAATATTTTCACTCGTCATTGACAGAGGTTGTGACATGTTTTTGCTAGCCATCTAACGTGCGCGAAATACACAATTCATCAAATCGGGAAGCGCACGTACAATTTCTCCAAATCATCGATAGCCTGCTGACGTGCGCGAAATACGCATCGTGTCGGGAATCGCACGTAAGATCTCCAACTCATCGATAGCCTTCTCTTTGTTAGGTCCAGCACAGTCATTTTATTCCTTGTGGACGAGCACCCTCATGGTCTAGTGGATAGAACGCCTGCTTGGACAGCGGCACTTCAATGGTTCGATCCCTGGCACCATCAAACTAACTGACGTAAAACGATTGATAAACTTGTTCTTATCCTAGTTGTAGTTCGAAATAAGAGGATAAATAGGAATTGGTGTGACCGAAGCCAGTATGCTGAGTGTGAGTGGCGTGTCCAAACTACGGCATGGTATATCAGTAGGGTTAGATGAGTAATCTACTGATATCTCAGTCCGGTTTAGAACTAACAACACACACACACACACACACACACACACACACACACACACACACACACACACACACACACACACACACACACACACACACAGAGAGAAAGATATAGACATGCACACACATAAACACACGTACACACTAATATGTGCTCAATAATCTTGAGAACAAAGCTTAACGTCATTTCACCCCACCTCGTCATCTTGGTTCAAAAACCTCAGTCAGATGTTCACGACAGGCTCCACAACGTCGAGGAATAATCGGGGTTACCTTCTATGATTTAAAACCATTAAATCACAGTAACCACCTGTGGTTAGAAATAGATTATGCAGAACCTCAAACATGAAAGTAATCATTTATACAAATACTTTAACATTAAATACTCTGTACCTTTATTTAGGTAGATATTATCATTTTTCGGTAATTTGCATAGTTCCAGTTCCGGTTAAACTGTGTAACTGGATCAATATTTACATCTGTTGTGCTACTGTTTCAGCATCCTATTGTTTACGATTCAGATGCACCATTAGATACACACAAAACATTGACACGGTGTATTAAATATATAATACAACACAGACAACGATGAAAGATCAATGTTTACTGCTGAGCGAAGTAACAAAATAAGACAGAAAGTACCATACTTATAACTGCTGTGTTCTCTTCATTGTTTTCAGCATTATACATAGCCATCTGTTCTCGCCCATCAGTGGCGTGGAATCTTCTTATACACTTTTGAATCTATGAAACTTTGAATTATGTTATTGGTATCGGTATTTTCTCCTTCGCTCCTCCCGGGCTCACAACATCACTTGCTTCCAACTGTTGCCTACTTGCGTCAAGTTGGGATGGGATATCTGTGTAATCATCCGAGTACCAACATTTTGGATAAGAGACAGTATGGAGATGCACATGGTGTTATTGTCTCCACCATAACACCTTCTTAAACTATCGATTTTACGCGAACATTTTCAAACTTCATTGGAAGAGGTTGTAACATGTTTTCGCAAGTCAAAACATTGATTACACAACAGTCTCGTTTACTGCTGACTCGGTTCCGTCCTACTGCGCAACTTAGTACAATAACCAGTCCAGAATGTTGAGACCAGCTCATTCAACTGGATATATAAATATCAATCAGTATCATTTGACACATCTAATCACTTGTATATTGCAACACTACGCTCCTTCTAATCCTTGCAAACACATCGTACAGCGTGCTCTGACAAACGGAAATCTGGAAATCGTGGAAATCTCAAAACGAGGCTTGACCGCTAGAAAAGTCTGACGGTCTGGAACGGACTTGATATTATATCAATCACAATAAGCGCAAATACCACATAACAGGTGTAACCAGTGAGCCAGATGAATTGTGAATCATTGTACGACCTCTTCAAACAGGGGCAGTCTTTGACGTCTTAGTTAACGACATACTGCCTAAACCTCGACATAAAATATAGAAATACGAGATTTTTTAACTGAAAAAAAATAAAATTTGTAAACAACATTGTCTTATGAAACAAGGAATTGGAATTTAGTGTAACCATAGTTGTTTGTAGTGTCTCTTTTCACACGAGAACATTCCTTAGAATAAGGAGAGGGTATTCTAAGTGAGAGAACTTGTTCCTAATCCTTTTCTCTGTGAATAAAATATGTTTAAAACAAAAACAAACAAATTCGGATCGGCTGAAAAATAGGGCATTCTCTGAATTGGTTAATGAGACTCATGTTTCGGTTTCATAGCCTTCTCACGCGAAATACACATCATGTCGGGAAGCGCACGTAAGATCTCCTACTCATCGATAGCCTTCTCTTTGTCAGGTCCAGTTACCAAGTTTTTCTTGTCGACGAGCACCTCATGGTCTAGTGGATTGAACGTTTGCTTGGAGAGCGGCAATTCAATGGTTCGATCCCTGGCAACGTCAAACTAACTGACGTGAATAAATTGATAAACTTGTTCTTATCCACATTGAAGCTCCAAATTAAGAAGATAAACAAGAAATGGCCATTATACTGTGTGTGTGTGAGAGAGAGAGAGAGAGAGAGAGAGAGAGAGAGAGAGAGAGAGAGAGAGAGAGAGAGAGAGAGAGAGAGAGAGAGAGAGAGAGAGAGAGAGAGAGAGAGAGAGAGAGAGAGGCACATATTTAAACCATTAAATGGCAGTAGACACGGTGAAGTTTAACATTGTTTCATATATACATTATATCAGGTGTAGATTATGCACCACATCAAACAGGAAATTAGTCATTTATACGAAACAGAACATCAGATACCATGTACCCTTTGGAACAAAGTATTCTCATGTTTGTGTACTTTGTATAGTTCCAGTTGTCATAACAGTGTTACTGATCAGATTTAAGGTACAGATGCACCTTAGATACATGTATATACAAAACCTTGATACGGTGATTCAAATAAATAATGCAACACAGACAACAATGATAGATCAATGTTTACTGCTGAGTGAAGTGACAAAATAAGACAGAAAATGACAAATACTGATAAATGTCTGCATTGATTTCAGCATCATGCATACATAGTCATCTGTTCTCACACATCTATGGCTTCAAATCTTCTTGTAACATTTTGAATAGATGAAACTTTAAACTACGTTATCAAAATAGCGGTTTTCTTCTTGTTCAGGCAACCTTGATGACCTCGTAATTGCCAAGGTACAAGAACAAGGTCACCGCCAGTGTAAATCAAGATATCTCGCTCTGACCCAGCTTCTTGAACCTTGGACTTTGGTAGCTCCACCTTGATTGCCCATGACGCCCTCATCATCATGCCCGGTAACGTCGAACATTACCATCCCAGTTGTTCCAGGCTATTTTCGTGCGTCCTTCAGAAGGAGCCAGACTTGTTCCGTAAACACCTACAAAAAATTTCACTGGAATGAGTAAAAATTACAACACAGCAAAACAAGAGTACCGAAGTGTGGGAGCTTACATAGTAGAAGTGACTTTGGAATGGGGTTTGTAGAATTTATAGGCATACAAGTGAGCATGCATGGTTGCCAACGTCTTTATTAAGTGGAACACAACGTTTTGCTCACTCCTTCATCAGGTGATTGAACGCCAAGATGGAGAGAACGTATGTATGTATATGTAAGAAGAAGAGGAATAACATACCACCTTTGTTATCTTATGACCTATGTCGTTCTTAGATGTACATGACTTGCAAGCAAAATGCTCAAACGTTTATAAGAATCCGCCATTTTCTGCTTTGACTTCATGCTTGTCTGACAGCGAAAAATGTCAAAATGTTTCCAAAATAATGTTTGACACGACAAAAAATGTTTTCTATACAGTGCAACTGCTCATCATGTATCAAGATGTAACACATTAAGACATCAGAACTGTACAGATGACATGCTGGTCACCAGTATAACGACACCAACTGATTGGTCTGTCGTAACAGGCGACTAATGAGATCAGGTCGTCAGGCTCGATGGCACAGTTGATGGATGTCATCGGATCCCAATTACATAAATCGATGTTCATGATGTCAATCACTGGGTTATCTGGTTCAGACCCGATTATTCAGAGATCGCCGTCATGTAGTTGATTGCCACCTTATCAGACACACAAACAACATGCATGTTCTTTTATATGTATCAGAAATTTGGGTTTTGACTTATTTTCATCGTATGGAAAAGGTACAAACTACATTTTTAAAACAATTTCTAAATCTAGGTAAATTTGCTTCTAATAAGGCTATATACGGGGAAATTGGTAGATGTAATATGTTTGTGTTCAGCAGAATAAGAGCAGTTAAATATTGGTTAAAGTTGGTAAAAATGCATTACTAAAGGTACCCAAAACAGTGTTCTCTTTTTTTGAAATCACAAGATCAAATGGGTAAAGTTAACTGGATGTCTAATGTTCGACTATTACCCTTTTCTACTGGATTTTCCTATGTATGGATTGCCCTAGGGGTTGACAATGAAGACTGTTTTATATCTCTTTTCAAACAGCGTCATTCAAGAGTGGTCTATGTCCATTAGTACTAGATATTTAGAATATTATGCCTCTCATAAGTCGGTGCTAGAACCAGAATCATATATCTTAAATTTTCACGATAAATCATTGATAAGAGCTTTATGCAAATTAAGAATTGGTTTTCATGATTTCTGTGTAAATATGGTAAACCACGTAAACATGGTATTTCTACAGAATGTAAAAATGATTTGATCTGTTCTAATTGTACTACAGGCTCTATAGAGGATGAGTTCCATGCCATGTTTGTATCCACCAAGTATCTAAGTTTGCGAAAGAAGTATATGCCATTTCATTCAAACACTGTATTAGACAAACATCCACGTTCAAATTGGTTAAATTCTAAGAATATTATGATTGTTCAGTATGTAGCAATTTATCTCAAACATGATTTCTCTTTGCGTAGCCATAAATGTAACCATGAATGTAACCATATGTTCACGTGACTTGCATAGTATTTTGTAACATCAACAATTGTAATGTAGGCCTTAAGGCCAGAATTACCGAGTAAACTGAATCTGAATCTGAATCTGATGCTTAGCTTGATTTACAGAACATGTGTGTCTTTACCTGATTGTGTGGTAAAATATGTAGGCATAGTTTTGTTATTTGGGACACACCTGGCCCATACAGGGCATCGTTTGCTCCATCACTTTGGCGTATTCTGTTCTCCCTGACGATAGCGTCCTTCCCCGGCCCGTCCGTGTAGTGGTAAAATGTAATGGTTGCCATGTCTTAGCTCCTGAAACACAGAAAATATCAATCCTTCATTACTCATTTCCTCAACAGACAATAACACAACTGAAGTCATGTATTCTAAAAAATGCTTTTTTCATAGATTCTAAAAGAAAATGCATATGTATATCAACACACCCTTCCTTGTCGATGAGCAAATGCTTTGTGTTGAAGTCGCTGGCTTGAACGAAGTATGGTGACAAACAGAAAGTGGAAATACGAATGATCCCTTACAGTTTCTACGAAACGCGCCCAATGCAATCCATAATACATGAGTCATACAAGTACACGCCCACAACATGTAATAGGATGACGTGGCCGAATTCAACGCTATATACGGTATGTATCATGAGATTGTGTGCGTCCAGTTTCGTTTTTCCTTTAGTGGAATGAATACAATGTCAACCTGACATTGTTGGTACAGCTGTCCTTCTCAGACGGGCGAGATCTTCTGTCACTGTGTGTGATAAGATTTTACTAAATTGTCTGCTTTTGGAAGACTTCTCACTTAATCTTCCTTCATAAATATACCATACTGACCGAAACTGTGCTTCATATGGTAGTTTCAATAAAATAAAAGTTAGTCTGTATTGGATGTTTGCCGGGAGCGGGACACTCATATACAGGGATTTTGGAGGAGAACAGAAATAGAGATTGTTTAGCTGTATTGCATATAACGGTATACAATGCCTGCCGTGACTTCATGAAAACCAACATCTTCGCTAAAGTTTCAAAGTAGTTTAATGTCACATCGCTTCTAATGTGGGTACAAGGGACTACATGTTCATCATGACACCTCTGATATTGGTACAAGGGACTACATGATCATCATGACACCTCTAATGTTGGTACAACGTACTACATGTTCATCATGACACTTCTAAGGTTGGAACATGATGCTACATGTTCATCATGACACCTCTAATGTTGGTACACAATACTACATGTCCATCATGACACCTCTAATGTTGGTACCTGATGCTACATGTTCATCATGCCACTTCTCACGTTGGTGCACAATACCACATGTTCATCATGACACCTCTCATGTTAGTACATGATGCTACATGTTCATCATGACAGCTCTAATGGTGGTACAAGGTACTACATGTTCATCATGACAGCTCTGATATTGGTACAAGATACTTCACATTCATCACGACACCTTTAATGTTCGTACAAGGACTACATGCTCATCATGACACCTCTAATGGTGGTACAAGATACTACACGTTCATCACGACACCTCTAATGTTAGTACAAGGACTACATGTTCATCACGACACCTCTAATGTTCGTACAAGGACTACATGTTCATCATGACAGCTCTAATGGTGGTACAAGATACTACACGATCATCACGACACCTCTAATGTTCGTACAAGGACTACATGTTCATCACGACACCTCTAATGTTCGTACAAGGACTACATGTTCATCATGACAGCTCTAATGGTGGTACAATAAACTACATGTTCATCATGACAGCTCTAATGGTGGTACAAGATACTACATGTTCATCACGACACCTCTAATGTTCGTACAAGGACTACCTGTTCATCACGACACCTCTAATGTTCGTACAAGGACTACATGTTCATCACGACACCTCTAATGTTCGTACAAGGACTACATGTTCATCATGACAACTCTCATGTTCGTACAAGGACTACATGTTCATCACGACACCTCTAATGTTCGTACAAGGACTACATGTTCATCATGACAACTCTAATGTTCGTACAAGGACTACATGTTCATCACGACACCTCTAATGTTCGTACAAGATACTACATATTCATCATGACAGCTCTAATGGTGGTACAAGATACTACACGTTCATCACGACACCTCTAATGTTCGTACAAGGACTACATGTTCATCACGACACCTCTAATGTTCGTACAAGGACTACATGTTCATCATGACAGCTCTAATGGTGGTACAAGATACTACATGTTCATCACGACACCTCTAATGTTCGTACAAGGACTACATGTTCATCACGACACCTCTAATGTTCGTACAAGGACTACATGTTCATCATGACAGCTCTAATGGTTGTACAAGATACTACATGTTCATCATGACACCTCTAATGGTGGTACAAGACACTACACGTTCATCACGACACCTCTAATGTTCGTACAAGGACTGCACATTCATCACGACACCTCTAATGTTCGTACAAGGACTACATGTTCATCATGACAGCTCTAATGGTGGTACAAGATAATACATGTTCATCACGACACCTCTAATGTTCGTACAAGGACTACATGTTCATCACGACACCTCTAATGTTCGTACAAGGACTACATGTTCATCATGACAGCTCTAATGTTCGTACAAGGACTACATGTTCATCACGACACCTCTAATGTTCGTACAAGGACTACATGTTCATCACGACATCTCTAAAGTGCGTACAAGGACTACATGTTCATCACGACACCTCTAATGTTCGTACAAGATACGACATATTCATCATGACAGCTCTAATGGTGGTACAAGATACTACACGTTCATCATGACACCTCTAATGTTCGTACAAGGACTACATGTTCATCATGACACCTCTAATGTTCGTACAAGGACTACATGTTCATCATGACAACTCTAATGGTGGTACAAGATACTACATGTTCATCACGACACCTCTAATGTTCGTACAAGGACTACATGTTCATCACGACACCTCTTATGTTCGTACAAGGACTACATGTTCATCACGACACCTCTAATGTTCGTACAAGATACTACATGTTCATCACGACACCTCTAATGGTGGTACATGATACTACATGTTCATCATGACAGCTCTAATGGTGGTACAAGATACTACACGTTCATCACGACACCTCTAATGTTCGTAGAAGGACTACACGTTCATCACGACACCTCTAATGTTCGTACAAGGACTACACGTTCATCATAACACCTCTAATATTCGTACAAGGACTACATGTTCATCATGACAGCTCTAATGGTGGTACAAGATACTACATGTTCATCATGACAGCTCTAATGGTGGTACAAGATACTACATGTTCATCATGACAGCTCTGATGTTGGTACAAGGACTACATGTTCATCATGACACCTCTAATGGTGGTACAAGATACTACATGTTCATCATGACAGCTCTGATGTTGGTACAAGGACTACATGTTCATCATGACAGCTCTAATGGTGGTACAAGATACTACACGTTCATCACGACACCTCTAATGTTCGTACAAGGACTACATGTTCATCATGACAGCTCTAATGGTGGTACAAGATAATACATGTTCATCATGATAGCTCTGATGTTGGGACAAGGACTACATGTTCATCATGACAGCTCTAATGGTGGTACAAGATACTACATGTTCATCATGACAGCTCTGATGTAGGTACAAGGACTACATGTTCATCATGAGAGCTCTAATGGCGGTACAAGATACTACATGTTCATCATGACACCTCTGATGTTGGTACAGAAAGGAAGTGAAGTGGGGTTTGGTTGTAGATCAATCCCGAGAAGAACTCATCCTTGTTATTGAGTCATTCCATTCATTTCCTATCAAATACACCAGTCAGGCAGTCACTACAAAACTTTCTTTTTTTCTGGTTTAAGCTGTTTTTTGTCAATACGCTGTCAATATAATTACGTAGCAGGTTACGTTTGCGATTTCCAAACATCTAAGACATTAGCTAAGTTGTGACAGTGTAAAGTTCGGTAAAATTTTAAACGATTCCAGAAAAATCTCCTTAATTTGATATGTGATCAAATTAAAACCAAAACTGATACTTTCTTCATTGCCAGAGTTAAATGTGCAATGGAATATCCCCTCTTCTGGGGAATGAACCGCTTGGTCGGTCATCACCAGACACCAGATTCTCGGGACCATTTCTGGTGTTGCTGGCGTCACAGGGAGTCTAGGACAGAGCTTCAAAGCTATCTCTGCAACTCTTAAACTTTGCTCCTTACTTCTGGCATTTGAAGTGACACCCTTCCCCAAAGTTGTACTTATATCTTTATGTATGGGTGTCAGTGTTAAGTAAGCCCTTTGTCTGCAAGCATCTGATCACTGTATGTTCCTTAAGAATGCCGGTTACCTAAAAGTAACACACTCCTGCTTATTTTACTTATTTGTCACAACCAAACAATTTGCTAAGCTATGTCGGTTTTTTTATGGATGTACCATGTAATGTCCACATGAAACGACTTCTGCTCAGAACTCATCAGACAGCCCTTGAAGATATGTGATCACGAGGCTTACAAAATAGCATACAGCCATTGTACATATGAGCGTCAAATATATTCAACCACACACATTAAGGGCTACTGTTAGTTTACCACACACAGTAATGTATTTGCAGTAATATATGTTGTCCTAAATGTGAATTCCATACAATTGCTCTGTACACAATGGGCACTCATTTCCTTAATCACTGTGAATTTAAGCACAGTGAGATAAAGTAATTTTTATTCAACACGATCCTGCCCAGTTCACACAGGACCAAAAGCCGGATAGTAAACCATTGAAATAAACGTAAATACAGTAGGAAATACATGCCATGACCTGATTTACGTATGTTTTCAGATATTTCCTAACTTCGGGCATATATTTCATATGAATCTATACCTTTGAAACATATGCTCATCGTACATTTTCGTATGCACATGCACCTCGTTCATGTATGCCCTGACCGGATTGTCAGGGATTTCCAAACATGAATTGCAAAACAGATACCCCAGTAAATACATGATCATACAGTATTTCCAATGCATTCCTTTGAATTTCAATGGGTGCTGAAATTTCCGATCTCGTTCTAAGTTTCCTCGGGTTGGAAACATGTGAATTTACTTAGGTGGGGAAACACATGTAAATTTTCAAATTTGCAAATATTTACACACCTTAGATATTTATGTATCATACCGGATTTCAGGGGTATGTATATGAACGGTTTATACACCTTCATCTTACCTGTACTCAAGCAAGATGATCATATGTTTCCATCATGTGAATTACTTGGTTCATGTAATTTCATTTTCACACATTTTAGTACGTTTGAAATCAACGTTCACATGACCTCAATATTCTTATCACCAAAAGAGCCTGACAAAGAAAGCAGTATTACGCAAGTTCACACGCCTTATCAAGCTGCACTCGCTCTAGCTACCAGTATCAGTTACGCCTTGTCTGTGGTGTTGGCAAATCTTGTGAGGTGCATGTTTCGAGGGATTAAAAGGTTCAGTGGTGAACAAAGGGCGATGCGTTGCCCCTTTGTCCT